CGATGCGGTCATCGCGAGCACGCAGTGGCACGCACAGCAGCGCGCATCCACCGCGCGAGTACGAATACCTACCGTTTACGTAATGCATTATCAAGATAAACATCTCGCATTACCATATACCCCATACGCATACCGAAAGAATAGAAATTACGCAGTACCAGCTTCGGGGGTTGTTCGTGGCATGGCATACAATGGCACAGTCTTACGAAAAATTTCAGTTTCCTGCGATGACATGCCTTGGCTTGACAAATTTGTGTGCGGCGAGATGTGAAAGGACCGAAACGTAATCCCATTCTTTTTTTTTTTTTACAAACTACTCCGTACCTACAGGCTTGTACTCTATTTGCGTTTATTTTGTCAACTATTATGCGGCATTATACAATACACAAGGAGTTTACTACTTTTTCTACCGACCCAGGTTTAACTTACCTTTCTAAACTCCAAACAGTATAAATCTACTGAGTACGTCAGAACAACGGTCTAAATATAGCAAAACTTTGAACTCTTTCGTAGTTTTTTTTAAATAACATCCAAACGCTTTGTGCTATAGCAATTATTTTTTCAGAAACATATTTTGTATTAAGTTCAAGATCGATTTTACGGATTATAATAAAAATTTCATCAATACTTTAATTTTTATAGACAAAAACAAAAATTAATGAAATTATTTATTCTTTTCCTCCAAAGTGTCAAGCTAAAATTTATTTATCTTTTAATTTTGAGATAGATACATTTAAAATTAATATAAAATCCAAATTTAAAAGAATCGTTACTGTCACTTATTCCATTCTCTTGTTATTTAAGAAAAAATAATCCAAATGGAGTTTTGAAAAGTTCAGGCTAATGTGGACATATAGATACAAACGGATATTGCCACACACTGTATTAAGATGTTTTGCTACGATAAGAAATGTCTAAAATGTCACAAGACATGTTTCGCAAACATATTCGTTACTAATCCGACCGCCGCAAGGGCAGCATTATGATGACAACTGTCATGACTTGACATGAAGCGTAAGTCAACCGTGAATTGCACGCATATTTCCACCGGCGAAAACAAAACATTGCCCTTCGGAATATATTCTAAACTAAACTTTTCAACAAACACACCTGAGGGCAGTTAATAACGAACTTTGCATTAAATTTTCGAAGCAAAATCGAATTGAATTGAAAATGCATCTGCTCCCACGCAAACTCAACCCCTAATTGATCATATACGCGGGGAATAAAAGGCATAAAAGCCCCAAATTCGGTGACAGACAGTTGCGCAACTTACGGTCTTGTAAGTGACCTCTATCCCACTAACTTTTTGACCAGCAGACGCAGTCTAAACCTACACAGTGTTTCAATAACAATGAAATAAATCGCGAGAAAATTTATATGATAAGGGTGAGAGACTTTTGATGTCTGGCACACTCTGTATTGACCGTGTGGGTCATTCGGACCATTAGGAGAACTCACCCCCGCAAAACAGGAGAGTCTCGTGCCATCGTGCAGTAATTTATTGTCTCGGGGTGACATTCGAATGGGACACTCATCCGAAGCAGCTCATTTTGCGACATATGGACGGACATTGGTCATAGTTATAAAGAAAAATTATACTTGAGTCCTTTTTTACGATGAGTATTAAATAAAAATTGTTTTATTGCGTGTGTGTTATAAAGGTGAAAGCAAACAAATCAGACGTGAATTGAACTGTGTATGATTAGAATTGGTCGTTTGATAGACGCCTGATTGTGTTTGATGGCATTTGATAGTCACTCATTTGTAAGGCCTGCGGATAATTTACATGCATGACGTGCGCACTCGTACAAGTTCGATTTATATTAATGACCCTTTACTGATGGCACAACGGCACGAATATATACACCGGTATTACTCTTTTTATTGATAATCTTTCCTTGTGTGGGTGGTTGCTGATAGGGCTTCATCAGAAATGCGGAAAGTCGATCCGTTGATGTTGCCGCCGATGACACAAAGCCTACGGTGACGAATCAAACGGAAAAGCGACCAAATAAAGGGTAAAAAATTGACGAGACTGAGAAACCTTCAAAACGTTCTGTATTCTTTGTAATCTATTGTCTTTTTTAAAATTTGAATATGTTTATACGCACAGAAAACTAACTAAACTGAAAATGACAGCTAGACTTGTTGTCGATATCACAAGTGAGACAAGATCACGTGTTTATCCGCGGCATGTGCGCAGCGTCGAAACGCATAAAAGTCGGGATGATTAAGCGCCTTCTTCGTCGTCTGCGCCTCGCGTCTGCTGCAACATTGAACATTTGGACCCGTTCCAATACTGCCGGGGTTTGTTGGGTAGAACCTTTTTTCCGCGACTAAAACTAGGTACTCAAAATTTCACAAAATTTTATGATAATTTCAATGTTTGCATCTTGGCACGAGGGTGTTGACTTCTAAAAAATTCACCCTCACAATATTAGGCAATTTAACGGCGAAGAAAAACAGGAAGTGGCGGGTTAAATATGCGCGGAATCTTCGCTGCCATATGACAACAGGCTGCCGGCAGCTTTTTCCAGCTTTGTGGAAACGGAAGCTAACGCACGAGCCCCATTTGTCTGTCAAACGACCCCCGAAAACGGGAATCCCGCAGATAAATATATCTCTCCCATTTGAGGCAATATAGAGATGTATTGATGGCAAACCCCGCGCACAACTGGATGTTACCCCAAATTCAAATATAGTTAATACTCACACCTCTAGAAACATTGTCAAAATTTCAACTTTTTGATAACATTCTGTATGCCGTGCGTGCGCTTAAGCTATTTATGACGACTTGGTTAAATTACCTTGACACTAACGAAGCCAACAATGCAAGAACAGTGCGCGCGCGGCGCGTCTAAAAATAATCCTGCGTTTTTGAACCCAAAACGACCGCATGCCTCAACTAAACATACACATTCACAAACAGACACGCGTTAGGTTGCATTCGCCGAAATACGAATGATTTATTCAATCATTTTGCGTCTAGGAGCATCATTTAGGTAATGCCTATGTTCGAAAATTCAAAGCGAAAGCTAAAATAATTCGATGTTGGAATCTAAAAATCTATAGATTTGTAGGTAGAAGAGAGCAGGATAAGATGACGACCTTAAACTTTTAGGGTATACGCTTCGTCAACTTACCCCACTCCCCCTCTAAATGTATATAGGGGAGAGTAGCCATATTTGGACCATTTTTATATTTTTTGATTTATAGAGCCACATATAAACTGTCAATAAAAATTAAGTAGCGGAAAAGTAACTCACAAGGCTTACCAACAAAATGATATTTTTGGTTTAAGTAAAAATTATATTTATACCCCTCAAATTTCATTTTAAAAAAATTGTGTTTTTGGTCCAAATTAAGAAACCGGTTTCCTAAATTGGACCGCGCGGTTTCCTAAATTGGACCATGCTTTTTTAACGGCAATTAACACAATAGTAAATTTTAGTTTTAGCAGTAACACAAGCACATTTTGTATAAACCAAAGTGCGGCATTTCATACAGTGGATCATTTCGAAGATTTGTGCTCGTCCACAAGCTTTTCTAGGAGGTCGAAAAAATGATATACGTTTTCCCTGCTAAAACCCCGGTGCCTGTCTTCGGTCCAACTTCGGCAACTTGAAGAATTTTTATTTAATTGTCAACGACAATCTTAATATAACATAACCTCTCAAAATTAATACTATAAATTATAGATAAATAAAGAAGCTTTCTGATGATAAAATAATAATCGGTAAAACTAACGTTTTAACGGCTTGACAGCTCTTGCACTTACGTCGTTATAATAGATTTGATAATCAATGATACACGAAGTTGTTGTCACGACGAAAGCACGCGGCAAGTTTTAACCCAAATAGTTGCATTAATTGTTTATAAATACGAGTAAAACAAGGGGCCAGTCAATTTTTGCATAAACTTCAACAGTCCGCGGATATCGTGGTGGTCCAACTTAGGCGCTGGTCCAAATTATGCTACCTTCCCCTATGTGAAAGTAGTGGTGCTACGGTGGTGGATTCCTGCGGGAATTGCGCGAATTGTGAAATATTGAAGATCCATCCGTTTCTGTTTGCGATATTCCGCTTTTTACGGGCTGGGATACGGGAAAACCTCGAAGAACCACTAGTCGATTTATATATCGGGGCGTGAATTAAATTTGAAACGGGGCGCTTCGTTCGGCTGTTCGCTGTTGGCGTTTTATTATCCAAAATCGATATTGCGTCGGTTATTTATACTTGGCGCGCATACACACGCTCCACCCGCGCCCGCGTCTTACACAAACATCCTCGACTCGCTTATAAGGATAAATACGCTGCGGAGAAAATCCATAAAATCGATGCGAGCACAACGCAACGTTTTATTATCCGTCTTGCAGGCGCTCGCTTTGTTGTCGGTTGTTTGTTGTTCTTTCCTGTTTGCATCCGGTATTGATTTATATTTACACGCTCATAAAACGCGATATTACATTGTGTTTCGTTGCGGGTGCGAGAGTGGTCTCAGTCGCCGGTGTGGGCGTTGTCTTTGCAGGAAATATTAAGGCGTGGATTATGAATGAGCAACAAGTGCGTCGACGTTGTGTTCGCACGCGCTCTTATTTATGAATCCTGCAATGCGCCGCCCAGCTGTCATAACCGGCTCGGCGTCGGCTCGTTGGCTGCGCGACGTTGCAGGAGGGAGAAGTCTACCGACCAGCCACATATCATATTGTCTGCATCGTCGGCACATTCATTGCGCGCGCGGTCGACTTGCCTCCCCCACTCGAATTCATATTTCATTTAATAACGTCTGCGGCTCGACCTATGAAGACGTCCTGCGCCCTTCCTGCGGCACACGAACTTATAAGCTCGCAGTCTAGTCGCGCCTGCTGTGACGCACGCATCGCACAGCAGGAATAATACACTCATTACTATATCGCGTCTAGAATACCATTTTAAATATAGAAGTTTGTTTTGTTTGAAAAATGGTTAGAGTTAAACGAACTCCTTTTATTCTTCCAGGCGAAGCCGCCACACAACCATCAGAAGAAGCGGTCTCACCTCGTCTGGCAGCTGAAGAAGAATTACAATACAGCGGAGCATTAATGTGTCCCCGTTGTCAGGAACAGTTCACCGAAGTGAATGAATTCCTTACGCACAAAGAGGAATGCGCAGAGAAAGCTAAGAAGCACGAGGAGCCTGCGCATTCTGATCCCGAAGACATGGTAGTTTCTGAGGATGATGAAGAAGAAGATGAAAGCACAGGCGGTAAACGTCTTGAACGAATGCGACGGCATCGTCAAGACGCTGCCAATAACAACAGTGTCGAAGATGGCCCTCAAGAGGAAACTGAAACAGAACCACAGGTTGGCTTTCCGTTTCCGGTACCGGCGCCTGGTGGTCATGTCACGTTGGAAGCACTCCAAAACACCAAAGTTGCTGTGGCACAATTTGCAGCCACAGCAATGGCCAATCAGGAGAATAACGAAGTTGCTCTACAAGAGTTGGCTGTTTTGCAAAGTACATTATTCACATTGCAACATCAGCAGGTGTTACAGCTGCAGTTAATTAATCAGTTACAACAGCAGTTGTCCATCAATAAACCCGAAAGTCCAGCTTCAACAACGCATGAGAATGATGATAATCCCACAGTGGAGTCACCACCACCCAGACCTTGCCCCACACCAACGTTGCTGCCTCCAAGAGTGACAACACCGGTGAATATGAATATTCCTCTGCCACCTCCGCCAGTCAGCCAACCACTGATAACTACTCAACCGTCTCCGAGTTCTGAGATTCGACCACAAGTATCCACACCAATTACAATGCCCCCGAATATTCAAGCTCCACTATGTTCCATATCATCATCATTGGCGTCTACAATCATTACACACTCCAACGACCCACCGTCTTTAGATGAACCAAACACTTTGGAAATGCTTCAAAAGCGTGCTCAGGAAGTTTTGGATAACGCCAGCCAAGGCCTTCTCGCAACAAATCTTGCAGATGAATTGGCATTCAGAAAAAGTAAAGGATCCATGTCACCGTATGACTCAAAAGGTCGTAATGAACCTTTCTTTAAGCACCGTTGCAGATATTGCGGTAAAGTGTTCGGTTCGGACTCGGCGCTGCAGATACATATCCGCTCTCACACTGGAGAACGTCCTTTTAAGTGTAACGTGTGTGGCAGTCGCTTCACCACCAAAGGAAACCTCAAGGTGCATTTCCAACGCCACAGTGCTAAATTCCCTCATATCAAGATGAACCCCAATCCGGTGCCAGAGCATTTGGACAAGTATCATCCACCGCTACTGGCGCAGTTGGGACAACAACCATCGTTGTCTCCTGGTGGTCCACCACATCCGCCACACATGGGTTTTCCACCTGGACCTGGAGCTCATCCGTTTCCACCATCGTCAATGCCTATGTACAGACCTCCACATGGACCACCCCCACCCCATGAGATGATGAATAATCGCCTGCCGCCTTCGCCGATTAGATCACAGGAGCCACCACCAAGGCTATTCCCACCACATCCATTCCTTTTAAAGAGAGAAGAACAAGAAGTTCCCGAGAATCTCAGCAAGCCAGTAAGGTCACCTACGCCAACAGAACGAAGTGAATCTCGTGTGAAAACTGAGAAGTCGGACAACGAAGATGAGCGGGAGACAAAACCACCTGCGGAGTGCGAAGACGCTAAAATGCAAGAAGACCAGATCACACCTAAACACGAGGTCGACACTGACGCTGAACACGAGCAAGAACCGGAACGATTTCCATCGCCTGCGGCTTATGATGAATGCAGCATTGACAGTAAGTATAGTAATGAGGAGATGGATCAAGCTGCGAGCCCTGGTGCTGAACAATCGGAAAACATGCAGGATGAACCTGAAAACCTCTCGAGTAAGAGCAACTCAATCACGCTGCCTTTGAGCATTTCTACTGGACAAAGGCTACCAGCAAACTTTCCTTATGGTCAAACCGTGTCATCACCACCAAGCAGTACCTCATCCGGTAGTCTGGGACAATTTCCCACTACTCCATTAGGCGATCCATCTAAAGATCCAGCCATCTACGCTAATCTTCTACCAAGACCAGGTAGTAATGACAACTCGTGGGAGTCTTTGATTGAAGTTACCAAAACTTCTGAAACCAGTAAGTTGCAGCAGTTAGTGGATAACATTGAACACAAACTTTCGGATCCCAATCAATGCGTCATCTGTCATCGAGTATTGTCATGCAAAAGTGCTCTCCAAATGCACTACAGGACCCACACTGGTGAGCGACCATTTAGGTGCAAAATCTGCGGGCGTGCTTTTACAACAAAGGGCAACCTTAAAACGCACATGGGTGTACATCGCGCAAAACCACCGATGAGGGTATTGCATCAGTGTCCGGTATGTCATAAGAAGTTTACAAATGCACTCGTACTCCAGCAGCACATCCGGTTGCACACAGGTGAACCCACCGATCTCACTCCTGAGCAGATCCAAGCCGCGGAGGTTAAAGACTTTCCTTCGCCAGGCGGTTTTCCGCCTCTACCCAATTCCATGCATCCATTCCTTAGTCAAGGTTTCCAAGTTCCTGGCCTTTCACCTCTTGGCGCTGGGGGTTTCCCGCTCGGCATGCGCATGGACTCCAACGACAAGGAGTACAACAATGACTACATGGACGATGAAGACGATGACGACGATGATATGCTGAGTAATTCCGAGCACAATCTATCTTTCTCGCATTCGCCAAGTGATCCTAATCAATCTAACGCCAACATGGGTTCGTTAAGTTTTTCCAATGAAGATCTTCGACGTCGCTCCGCATCGCCGGTTCAAAACGGAGAAAAATCTCCAGCACGATCAGGCGTTACCACTCCAGGTAGTTGTAATGAACAGAGATGCTCGTCGCCAATCCCACCAACCGTCCAAGTGCCGCGCCCGCCCTCATCGCAGCAGCCGGGCAGCCCCACGCCGTCCGACTCCAACTCTCTGGGGGCGCTCGATCTCACTCCACGAACGCAGCAGCAACCATTGTCTGCTACCACTAGCCCAGGACCGGGAGGCATTCCGCCACCACCGTCGTTGTTTTCGTCCTTTGGTTTTCTACCGCCTGGACAGAGCAGCTCTCCATTGATCTCATCGGCGTTGTCCTCGTTAACGTCCTCGGTGCTCACTTCTACGGCATTTAGTCCACTAAGGCTTGCAGTAGGGCCAACTGGTGAGTGTTCTAAGCACAAGAACTTTATAACACGCAAAATTTTACATTTTTGGTAACTAATTGAATTTTTTGTTTGTGGTGTTGATTTTCTAGTAGGACGTGGTAACACCACGTGTAACCTGTGTTTCAAGACGTTCGCCTGCCACTCGGCGCTCGAGATTCATTACCGCAGCCACACCAAGGAGCGCCCGTTCAAGTGCACCGTCTGCGATCGCGGATTCTCCACCAAGGTATGCGCCAATTCAATGGCACTTTCACTGCGCTGCCAAATTCCGCGTCTCCGCGTTAATCTTTTAATTCGAAATCAAAAGCAAACTGCCGAGTTATTTTCGACGAGGCACAATAGACGCGTATAGCTGGCGACATGACTTGTCGCGGCTCAAATTAACCGCTGGCCGCGTGCCAAACGTGAGTTATGTCAAACGTCTAAGTGGTCTATTTTCGATTAAGAATATTCAACCATCTTGCATTTCTACCATTTCATGGCGAACAATGACATTTTTGCATTTTCACTTATCTGCGTGTGTGTGTTAGCTGTGCGAATGTCAAAGTTCACGTGTGATTCTTGCAGGCGGATGCCGACGAGTGTGTGTGTGGCGGTCAGAGGCGTATCCAGGATGAAGCGGAGCCGGCCGCCGGCACGAAGAGCGCCGGCAAACGCAAAGCGCCGTCGAAGCTTCGACGGGGCAGTAACGCCGCGAAGTTTCGCCTGCCGATGAGCCCTGGATACGCCACTGCGCTGCACTGGAGCTCGCTTGCGGTAAGCCATACGCGTGCGATATACAGAGCGTTGGCACTGCCATCCGGCCGCCCTTCGGCCGAAATTTTAATCCTTGCTCACGTGCCCGATTCTTTTTCAGGGTAACATGAAGCAGCACATGCTCACGCACAAGATCCGCGACATGCCGCAGCACATGTTCGACAAGCCGAACAGCAACAGCAACGATGACTCGCAATCACAGCCTCAATCGTCGCCCCAGCAGCAGGCTCAGCAGCAACAGTCACAGCAACTACTCGCCGCAGTGCCGCCCCCGCCGCTGCAACCGCAACGCGAGTCAATTCCACGCGAGATTCCACCTCCGACCGCCGAGAATGATCGTTCTCCACCTGCTCCTCAAATTCCACCGCCTCCGCCACCATCCGAGCAACAAGTTAAGGAACCACCGCCGCCACCTCCAAAACGCGCACCCTCCGAGACGGACCTACCGCTCCCCAAGCGACCACCGAGTAAGTTTCCACTCAATTTAACGCGAATTTTCAAACGTATTAAAATACAAGTCTATTATCACATTTTTGTACATAACGTATCTACGATACGGCGCCATCTTGTTTCTTTCTCATAACGTTAATGACATTAACAAATAATATTTTTTTAATGGATTAATGGATACATATAAGGCGAGAGATACCATGTTGTGATAAATGCTTGATAATATGCCACTAACTGTTGATACGAATCGATTTGGTATTTGGGGGCCTCACGTGTGTTGTGTGTGTGTTTGCAGGCTTGCAGGCCAGTAAGCATTTGTGCCACGTGTGTAATAAGAACTTCTCGTCCAGTTCGGCCTTGCAGATACACATGCGTACACATACTGGGGACAAGCCGTTCCGCTGCACCGTCTGTCAGAAGGCCTTCACCACCAAGGGGAATCTGAAGGTAAGTGATCACCACCTCAACCACCCCACGTCGCTATTGATATTTTTTCTGTTACTAATTGTGTGTCATAACGAATATAGCTTAGCTGCTTTAAGCTTGCAAACTAATATTACTCACTTGCCATTTTTTGTTTAAATTTATATGGCGACATAATTAGTATTCGTGACTCGTGATTTTAATTGGATGTGTTTGTGTTAAAGGTTCACATGGGCACGCATATGTGGAGCAACGGAGCGTCGCGTCGCGGCCGTCGCATGTCACTCGACCTGCCGCCCATTCCCATGACACCCAAGGATTCCGAATTTCTCCAGCGGAGGCCCGATCTCTTCTACCCGTACCTCCCGGCACCATTCCTTAATGGCATGCAGCAAAAGGTAACAAATCTCCTACCTAACAAATTTACCAAATTACTTAACAAACTTTTTATTCAACAGTTGAATGATATCGCAGTGGGTCAGTCGCCACAAAACGGCATTTCAAATGCGGGAAAGTATAGTGGCCTGTTGGGTTTCGGTTACCCACCACCAGATGCACTGCGATCTGCAGCTGGTACGCCGGAACGGCCACCATCACGACCTGCGAGCCGTGAGCCTGAACGTCTCTGGGATATCCACTTTGATCGCAAACCATCCGCGGAGAGCGGCCGCGAGGAACTGATGCCACCGAGCCGCGAGGGTCTCGCCGCTTAACACCCTTGAAATGCGAGGCGACGACCTCCCCCGAAGCGCAGAACGAACACAAAAATTACAAATGTTCCTAATTAAATTAAATATTTATTATAACTCATAGGCGAACTTAATGCGCTAAGCAAAGTTATCGATACATGGACGGATCTTAGCTAAGCGAATAACCTGTGTGGGGGAGATTAAAAAAAAGATATGATTCGAAACTAGTCTACGAGTGGATCGGGGCAATGCATACTGTGATACACCAGCTGTAGGAGCGGCACGACCGACGCCACTGATTACTGCTGTGTTTTTAAACGAAATATAAACAAAATTAAAATAAAATAACGATGATTCAACTTCGGCGAAATCAGCGAACGCAGAACACACGGTGGTGAAGCAAACAAAACTGTATTATAGCTCTAAATGTATATTGTAATTACTAGATTTTAAAACATACAAGCATGGAGAGGAAATAAAAATTTAAACTCAAGAAGGCAAAAAAAATGAAACAAAATTATCAAATATCGTTTGCTGTGTCTCGTATAAATACAAATTTTACGAATAACAAGAAAACACTAAGGTTATTAATTAAAGTCTAGCTAAAGTACAGTTCGTAAGATAACTAAATATATAAATACACACGATGGGATAGATAATTATATTTATTGCTCCGACTAGACATCAAGTTCGGACAACTACGAGGGCATTGCCAGTAACTATTAGCTTTACACACCGAGGAACCGAATGAAATGCAAAGCAGAGGAAGAAGATTTCATCTGTACACTCAACACACACACAAACACACGCCAACACACAACAACGCAAACACATGCATGTACACTAACACGTTTGTAAATATATTATTTTAAAAATACGGACCGATTTTAATTATGATTGTAAATTATAAATTCAAAACTTGTGGAGTATAAATCGCGGACGTGTGTAAAAACAAAAGTTAAAGCCAGTCGTATTGAAACAAAAATGTTAGGTGTTGTCGGTATTACTGCATTCATACTATTTGTTAAAGTGGGTTTCTCAAAGCATCCAAAAATTAACGATTAAAAGACATACAACATCGAGAGGCAGGTTGTACGCCAGGCCGAGAGTAAAAGAAACTAAGAATCAAAAATGAATATTCAATCACAGACAAATTTGTCTCTCGATGGTTAACTTAACGTTAAGCACTTGTACATACATAATTTGAATTATTTTGTAATTACTTATACATATTATTATTCATATTATTAATTAATGCTAAGTGATGTATTTAAAAAAACACTATTATTAATATTACTCTATTTAATATCTGTGGTTTTTTCTGTTTAATGAGACTGTATAAAAAACGTTTATTAACGTTTGTTAAGTATGTACTAATCACGTGGTACAAAATTTATATCAAACAAAAATCAATATTTCGCCATTATCTTCAAACAAATACCGAAATACGTATAATATTGATGAGGGATCTTTTGAGTTGGTTGATTTTGTTCTTTGGTGTTTGATTTGCGGACGCTGTGAATCACGATTGACATTGGAGAAATGTACAAAAATATTATCGACTAATTATGTATGCAAACCAAAAGTAAAGCAAAGCGATGATAAGGAGCGAAAACACGAAAATTGTAATATATTAATTAAACAAAGTGAATCATCACGTGGGGTAGAGTACAGACGTGGGCGGAGCATGCGAGCATTTTGCACGATGCAATTATCGTTTCTGGGCGATCCTGTATGTATTTATAAATGATGAAAAGGTAAAAGTGAGCATGTATACAAATGCCAGTTAAAATTCTGTTTAATAATTATGAAATATAAATATTTATCACATTCATTTGTGCAATACAAGTAAGATGAGTGTTTTATTCATTCAAATAACCTTTATAACATTGAACCTATTATCTCTTGTGTTTATATTAGAATGCCTCAAATCGAACGTTTGTTTATTTACAACAACACTTCTACATACACCTATGCATTTACTATTTTTTACATTTCAATATTATTTTGAAATCAGTACAAGTAGCGACATCTGCTGGGGATTTTGAGAAGAACAAGCCCAAATGATCAACATAACCCTCACCGTTTACAAAACAGTGCACTATATTCATTTCAGTATCAACTTTTTCAAAATGTAGAACTTTAAAATAATAACAATCTTTATTACAAGATGTTAAATTGAAAAAAGTGTACCGAGTGAGTTTTCCCACATTTAACGAAGGTAAGTAATATCAATTGATATAATTGTATCGAACACTGTTTCATCCAAAAATAAGTAGACTATATCATATTGATTGTATTATATTCCTTGCTAATTTAATTACTATAATACATTATTGAATATAATCAATGCACTAATTTAATTAGCATTTATGTATATATGTGTAGTCATGTAATTTCAAAGTTTTCTCCACTTTGGCAGAACAAAGGAGGTTTTTTTTCATGAGTTAAAAATGCGGTTTCAAATAGTTCTTTTCATAATAAATTTATATTTAATAAATATAACATTTGTAATTATAAAATAATCACAAAGGTTCATATTTTTACTAAATCTTCTTTTTTAGTGTGATCATGAAGTAACTGATCAAGTTTACTTGGAAATCGAACATGAAGGCAAGTACATGGGACGAATTGTCATTGGCCTATTTGGCACAGTAGCACCAAAAACAGTGCTCAATTTTAAAACAATTGCCACAAATGGCATCAATGGTAAAACTTATGAAGGATCAACTTTTCATCGCGTTATTCAAAGATTCATGATACAAGGTAATTAAATAAAATATTATAAAATTCTATAGGATTCATGTTATTTATGTTGAGTAAATTGATTTAGCAAGAATTTTTAGGAGGAGATATCATGAATGGAGATGGTACTTCATCTATTTCGATTTATGATGAAGGTCTTTTTGAAGATGAAGACTTTAGCATTAGCCATAATGGAGCAGGTTATATTAGCATGGCTAACAGTGGACCAAATACAAATGGATGTCAATTTTTCATTACAACCATGGCATGTACATGGCTTGATGGACATCATGTAGTTTTTGGCAAAGTATGTAATTTGTTTTTCTACCGTTTTTTTCTTAATTAGAATGTACTTCGATTTTTATAAAACTATTATGCGTTAGGTTGTTCGAGGTCAAGATATTGTACATCGCATTGAACATGTTCGAACGGACACGGATGATAGGCCAGTCGAGACGGTAAAAATTATTCAGTCAGGTTTGATTGAAACACCTCGACCGTTTTATATTTCTGAAGATCCGTACGATTATAGGTAAAAAATTTGAGATTTCTTGGATTATTATATCTGTTTTATCTGTTATTTATGCTTTCAGTTTGATGCAATGGATTTACGATGGCATTTTACCGCTTTCGTTTTCATTTTGTATTCTGGGCTTTTTCCAATGGGTCCTTAGCAAATTAAATGGATTCAAAATAGTTTGAATGTAAATGTTGTTTCTTGTTATTAACAATTCATTGAAGTATCAAATGAAATGACTATATTACCTTTTTGTCAAATTACATTGAGCATTTTGAATAAAGTTATTTAAATTGTAACTGGGAGTTTTTAGGTTACAGAAAATCACATTGAATGAATTTTGATTCTGACTGTTCTTTAATCCGCAGCAAATGCAAAAGCCAAACCGAGCCAAACAGAAATAATTTGCTCATCTTATCGACGTAGAAGCCAAAATATACATTATTCGAGTGTCGCTAGTGTCGCTTCGCTTATAAGCGTCACTGACTTCTTTTTTTATTAAATTCATTATTGTATTAAAATATATTTAATTATTGTTCAATTCTTGTACTTGATTAAAAAGTTAACTAAAAATTTTATATTTATACCGTAGATGACATTGTGAGGCTAAATAACGCGGGACAGATAGACTACCATCTGTGGCTCGTTCAGTTCTAGTTAAACAACCCAATTAAAACGTAATTAGCACGGATTAAATCGATAAGGTAATCAGCAATAAATCAAGCGAACTAAACTGGAGAGGACATTTCAATGGTTTGAATCATAATCAAGGACAGGGACATGACAGGCGTTCGGTATACTTCGGTGTGAATCATTTATTATCGACTTTTAGCCGCACGCGGCGCGGCGTCGCATTCCCCGCATTCGTCCGCCAGCGTTTGACGCAAACACCTGCTGCTGGTGTTTCTGTTCCTCGCACGCGCCGAAAGCAATTCGCGCACAAACTCGCCGCTGCATGTGCTACATCCATTAGTTTTCCACGAACATCATCGCCCTCATCTGAGCGGTGAAGTAACAAACGCACTCTGGTATCTGAACAATGTGGCGATCGTAGAACATCCAACAAGTTGAGTACATCAATCCGTCATCATGGATTGGGTGATCTCGGACGAGCTGCAGCTGACCGTGGGTCACGTCGTCGGCTGGGTGAGCGCCGGTGCGATGATCGTCGGTGGTGTGATACCCTACATACCACAGTACAAACAAATTAAACAAACACAAGATGCAGAAGGTTTCTCGTTGCTCGTCTGTCTTGCCCTCCTCATTGCCAACACGCTCAGGATTTTATTTTGGTGAGTGATGTATTAACCACCCACATAATATTTACAAGCAGTAATAAAAACATGTTAAAAATAATAAAAACTATTTGTCCCAAGCAATAACATACGTGACCAATAACATTTATTGCATGTGTGCTTGATATTACCAGTCTAATATACTAATATGTTTCAGGTTCGGAAAACATTTTGAATATCCATTGCTTATTCAGAGTCTGGTGATGAATTTTACAATGTTTATGATGGTCCATCTGTGCGTAAGTGTCCGGAATAAGAACGAACTGCTGCAATCGCGACAGCGCATCTTCTCAGGTAGTTAATTTTTATTCTATCATTCTGCTCAAGTATGTAAGGACTACATAACTTGAACTTGAGATGTGTGGAAATGCGAACGATTTTTATGGTGGATGTGCTACTTCTACATTTTTTGTGTTTGGTTTGGCAGCTAAACCCCGTGAAGTGGTCAGATTGCTTCAGACAAAACCTCCACGCTCCTCACATAGTATTTGTGGTAAATTTTATTGCTTGCACTAATTTCTATTCTGAATATTCTTTCATGTTACTGTTCAATGCAACTTCACGAAAGCGTTTTGGCCAAATTTTGCATAACGTCTATAAATATTTTTAGTTATTTGTTTAAATTTGAAGTGTTTTCATACCGTCGACTAGCAAGATATTAACCAAAATGATTTCGTGAAGCACTGCTTTATATAAAATTCAACCAAAACTTCAAATCGATTAGATAAATCACACATGTGCAAATTTTAATCATAATATCTGTAAATTGATTGAATTTTATACTTATCACATTATACTTTTTTCATTTTGAAGTGCTTCAGTTTCATTGCTCAATTTATTTGCACTCTGTATTAAATGTCAGTGCACTTTAAAATCTGAAGTGATTTCATTGTGAGTCATAATATTCTGATAAATTTAATGATGCGATCATAGGCACAATGGATCTCATTATTAAATTTGTGATAAAACTGCACTGTTCTCGTACTTGTATATATATATATACGCTCTGTTAGCTTTAGTAGCTTAACATTCTTTTTAATTTTGGCTTCTTGTTAGCTTTATTTTTTGTCACAATGAAAACATTTGTGCACTTCAAGGGGATTTCCTTCGCACTCTGATCGAAGTTAATGATGTGCTCAAGATGAAACAGAAAACTCAACTCTCAATCCAGTTGGTTCAGTTCTAATTGACTTTTAAAGCAGTCCTTTTGTCATATTGCTCCACTCATGAATAAAACAATCGTTTAACGAGACTTTCATGGGAGTTGGAATTTGAGTCATCAATTAATTTCGTTAATTTGCATATTTGCATACATTCGTGCACTAAAAAGTCATACCAAGCATTTGTAAAAATTGTGAATATAACGTATTAATCTGTTTTCTGCGTTAATTTTATAGATATGGATGCGAAATATTTTTGGAACTGGTCGGACTTCCAATCCTACGTGGACTGCATGTTGTGTTTTACAATAGTGGCGTCCGTGCTGATGTACTTCTTTGTTGGGTACTTAGTTTTCGTGGAGCTGGTGGGCTTCATGGCGGTGTTCACTGAGGCGATGCTTGGCACGCCGCAGCTGGTGAAGAATTTTCGCAATAAGAGCACCGAGGGCATGAGGTAAGCGGTTGGTTTGTTTTATGTTTGCGGTTTATCTTGCGGCTATTTTTATTCGTGTGCGCGCGATAATGAAATTTCGCGTTATTGTATCATCAATAACGAAGCGAACGAAAGGCAAAAAAGGACGTAAGGGTGTGACGCGGCTCGACCGCTCCCTGGTTTTAGGGGATAATATAATTTTTACATTCCTCACGCCTTGTCACATTTCGTATTCGATGAAAATTTTATACAATATGTTTCTGAAGGAAGAAGAATCACTTGATTCATTTATAAATACATGCAAAACAAATTTAACAGCAATACAGGGAAAACTTTCATTGGCAAGTGGATTTAGAAATTTTTAATTTATATGTATATTCCAGACCATAGTGTATATATTTTTATATAAATAGATAAAACTCTGCGACGGCGAATTAGGACGTTCAGCTTGTCAGGATTAATGTGGTGGATCCCTAACCCATGACTATATTGACTATGTCTTACGGTCAAGGTGATCGGGCAAACACCACTAAATTGAAACTGATTTCTACGTGGTGACTTTCTCCGTGCGCACCTTTCGCATCCACACGTTTGATTGCGACTTTTTCGGTTTGCCACCTGAGTAAACTAATCAGAAATCGATATCCTGGTATCGTGGATGAGTCAATTGAATATTGCCTCACCACGACTTTTTCTACATTCATCATTTGCAGTCATTTCGCGTACACGCGCGCGACGCTGTTGCTGTGAGCTCGAAGGCGAAAGCAACGCGCTTGCCGCAAGCCTATTTTTATCAGCTTATCTGTCGCCTATGATTATGTGACGTCGGAGGCGCGACCTTTTCGACAAAGTTCAGCTCGACAATCCACGGCCCTGGAAAAGGAGTGTCGAGGATTTGTGCACAGGAGTTAAACACACAGATAACAGATCATTAATCATAAATAAATCGTACAACAAAAACAGATTTGGGCAGTGTTTACTATTATTGACAGCATTGCTAATAAACCAAATGTTATTTATTACTAAATGTACGATATTTTATCTAAAAAAATATGTAAATTGTTACTACTAGTGAAAATACTCGCATTTGAAATTATTACGACATTGTAAATATTACTGGTTCAATATTTGCAAATATTATGATTTCAGTTTACAAACTAAAATGTGATTTGAATAGCAAACAGTAATTAAACCTTAGGTACATTTACCGGATGTAGATATGATTAAAACATTTTGTTTGTAATTGGTTTTGGAAAGTTTGTTTGCCACGTGCGTGGTAGCAATGAAAATGTAACTAATTCTTATACCAATATTCGAAACGAGCACAGTTTAATTCAAAATAATTTATTTTTTGCTTGTTGTATAAGTAATTATTAAACTAAATAATTACATAATTAAAATATAAATGTGTTTGTATTTAATTGTTTTTTGTTTTAGTATATCAATGGTGGTGCTTTGGACATGCGGTGACGTCTTCAAAACGACCTATTTCTTCCTACGCGCAGCACCCCTGCAATTCTGGATCTGTGGTATGCTGCAGGTGACAATTGATCTGCTTATCCTGATGCAGGTATACATCTACCGCTGCAACCCTGAGCCGCAGCGGGTGCGCTCGCGTCGGGGGGATTGAGTAGTTATCATCTGGACACACGACATTGAGGAGGGCAAGACAACACAGCAAGAGCAACGAGATTCCATGTCGTCGTCAAACGGCATAACGGACGCTGCCGCCGTACCTGAGGAGCGCGTTCGTTTCCTATCATGCCGCGACGACGACTATTACTTCCGACGGCCGGACGTGGTGGCTAACCACGCCGCGATCGCCACTGCCGCAAAAGCGGAAACCGACCCACAATTACAAATGGAATTGTGTGCGCCGGCCGAAATAGACTGTAATGAAGATAGTGTGATCGAAGTGAACGTGCAGGTGCACGCGGAAAGTGAAGAACATTTCACGGCGAATCACACTGCTAATGGCACCGCCACGATGGTGGAGGTGCGCAAGCCGACTGGGCATCGCGTTCATGACGTGAATTCGGGCAACAACTTCAATAATAATAATAACAATATAGCGCCTATCATGCGTAAAAAGCCTCCGAATCACGTCAGCGTGCTCATACATCGGCATACGTTATGACGAGTTTCGATCTCGTCTGTGATCCATCATAAAGTTATATTTAATAGATTGTATACTTTTACCAGGGCGCAATTGTATTTACTTTTGTACTTCAATTGCTCGTTTTAATTCAGATTTTAAGTCTTGCTAGTCGATTATCAAAGGAGAAGATGAGAAATTAGATTTTAGTTTTTATCAGTAATATCTTAACAAATTATTATAGTCAATACTACCAACTAATAATTTAATTAATCTTTTTCCAACTTTTTTTAAAGGGTTACATTCACTTTTTAGAGGTTTTCTTTATTATGAAATATACAAAAAAGAATAAGATAATAATAAAACAACAAATAAAAACCAAGCAAAGGAAACCAAACTAATACTATAGTATTTTTTGGAAAATATTTTAAATGTTTAAAACTTTGGAATGTGCCATAAATTTGGATTGAAACTTTTAGATATTTTATTGAAAATTTATTAATTCTGTAAGAAGTAGGCTAGATTTGGAATCGTTTTGTAAAATTTTAAAATTTTTGTAGAATTTACATCTGTCTAATGAATAACATTTTTGATTTGCAATTTGAGACCAAGGCGTCGTTCAGATCATTTTCTTTCAAAAACATTGAACCAATTTATTAGTTTTTACAATCTCAGGTGAATATAACCCCTTAAAGTATAATTATATTTTTTATAGTACTTTATTATCAAAAATTATCGTTTTTTTTTGCACTAAATCCTGCGTGCAACATTTATTTTTAAAATAATTTGATGAAAACATAATCTATCACTTGTGTAGACTGAATTCTAGTCGTGCACACATTTCAATTAAAACGAACGAAATTTTATTCCTACTAGTGATGTTGAAATGTGAAAAGTTGAAAAATAAGGAAATGTTATAAGCGCACTAACGAATTTAGCAATTATGAACATTCTTTAAACATGTTTGATCAAAAATTGTGGCGCAAGAATAGGAGTTGTTGTTGTTAAAAATTACTATTGATGATAATCATTAGTGCATTTTGCAGTCTATGTAAATGTCGAAATTTAAGATCTTAAGAAACTATATATCATTACAGTACCGAGGGTAGGAAACATATTAACATCACAACGTTTAATTAGCTATGTTTCTTAGTGGTGCTACTACATTGATGTTAATATGTATTAACTATGAAACATTATCAGGAATTTCTTCATGATAGTGTAAAAGTTTCAGACCATTTACATTTTAGTCCCATACACAAGGTGCAATAACATCCTTCTGGAAGCAAACGCAAACACCGAATTGATTGAACAAAACAAACGAAGCAATAATTACTTATATCTTCTGTCTACAGTATGCTGAAGTTATCAAGCAAAAGCATTGCTACCCATTTAATTAAAATATTCGTTGATGTTAGTCGAAGAAGTTGTAACGAATTTGAATCAATTGCGTCGTGAAAGGCGTGAATACGAAACCGTAGCTGTGTTGATGTGTAGATAGAACAAAGAACAATTGAGAAATTACGTAAACGAACAAAGATAAAACAAATCTATTATATATATTATATGCAAGTCTTTTGCGCAAATCTGCCTTGTTATTGACATGATGGTGATCGTTAGATAGCAAATGATGTGTAATTGATATGAACATAGGACCATTTAATGATGAAGTATTATAATTCAAGTATTATGACTGGAGATATATGAGAACATGCCAATTCTAGTGTGTCGACCCAAAACTATCAAAAACAAAGCAATAACAACATTATCGGCCATTTTGTTTACTATTTGAGCCGGCACACGGCGAATTTCGTTTGCGAAATGGAGAAATAAGAATGTGATTCCGAACTTAAATTATGCACTTGGGTTCTCGATTTAGACGGACTAATGAAGAAACATTGTACCTAATTAGGTATGCGTTTGTGCTTAACGCTAAATTCCGATCGAATGATTTCTTCTTCTGTAATGTTCATTCAAATAGTTTAAATTTTGTGTACATTAATCTTTGAAGCTTCCATAGCAAGCGAGTCGATTGATATATTTCCTATTTGTAAATTAAATCCGCGATTGGCGATTTTTTTGAATGCCAAATAGTCTTCTAAATTTATTTGTATACTTAAGCAAAAGATGAAACAATTTATTAATGAATTTATGCAAATTCCAAGTTAGAAAGCGTTCGTCACAAATCATGTTTGACTTGTGGTGGTGTTTTCTTTGATTAATCGATACAATTGTAAAAGATATAAAAATGTTGCCATTTAGCGATGTATGATTAAAAGGTGCGCGTGGTCCTTTATGCTCGAATCAATGCTATTTCCGTTTTCATTTAGCACAGACGAAATATTATTGATTCGCATCTTGGTGCCACTCGGTAGTTATGCATAAATAAATGTTTTATTTTGAAATAAATCCAGCGGATGCAATGAATGTTCATCACGGCGACATCGGATAGATATGATTGATGACCTGCTTTTTTCTAGCACACAGTATCTATCATTGTGATAAGACCACATACCGCAAGACGAGATGAAACATTTTTGTTTAAAGCACATAGAAAAGGAATAATGTAGCTGTACAGCTCTAAGATGTGATGGTTGACATTTGTCATCAGGGATATTGGTCTTGCTTGCAACAGCTTTTGAATGAAAATCCTGCACCACCTCAAAAAGGAAACAAAAGCCTGTGTGTTGTAGAGAAATGGCAAAGTAAACAACTCCCGGAAAGATAAAAAACGACCCTTCAACTCCTCCACAAAATGAAAGCGAGGCGTAAAAACGCAGCGTAGCAATGGCCAACAATACAGACGTCGAAAAAAGCTTTTAGTTTAATTACGTTGGTTGTTCAACTTCAACAATCACGCGCAGTTTTTTACTTGACGTCTCGCACCAAATGCGTGTTATCTAAATACACTCTCGATTCGTTGATCGTTAAACTGGTTACTTCTAAATACTAGCATCGAGTACAGTAGTAGTGCAGTGATTTGTAAGTTTGTTGATGCGCTGGTTGTACAAACAGAGTAAAAATGTAATCCGATGACCCAATATGAGCAACTGTCGGCCAGGCAATGACGCAAATGCGAATGCAAATAAACGAGCCGCATTGTTCTTCGACTTTGTTCACAATCGTTGATTGGCCTGGCGCAACAATGAGCGATACAAATGCGCGCTCATTTCAATTCAGAAAGTTCGTATGCTATTCGTAATCGAATTGCCCTTTGATTCGATACCGACTTTTTATTATTAATTATATTAATTGAAGCGTTTAATTAAGGCAAGCAGTCAAAATAATTAGTTTACTCGTTCGATTTAGAATAGCTAATCTGTGAAGTCTTATTTTTATGTTTTCATGGAAAAGGTCATTCGTGTTGGATTAAGCAGTGTTCATGAACCTGGGAATTCGTTCAATGCGAACTGCATACATTTTGATTAATTTATTTTGAAATGGATACGAAGAATTCCCGGTGATGTTTACCTGTTTAATCTTTTTGCTTTGCCTCGTTAATTCAAAAAGTTTAATTTTTAGGTACATTGTTTTGTTTAATTGTAAACGAGGTTGAAGGATAATGATGGCCAAAACAAAGACGTCAGCCGGACGTGCCGCAGGAAAAAGACGGACGGATTGTTGTGGTGGTTGCCGGCGGCGCCACGACCACCACTGCCGCCGCCGCCGCTGCTGCTGGTGCTGCTGCCGTCATCGTCCTGCCGCTCTCCGGCTCTCGCAACGTCGTGGCATCGATCGGTTTTCAGTACGTTGAAGCGTCTCGCCCGCATCGCAGCGTCGCCGGCGCGTGTTCGTCATTGACGAACAGAAACGTTTTTCGGCGATTAGGAAGAAATCGAAAATCAGTGCGGTCCGGCCCCGGGGGCGCGTGACGCTTTAGAAGGGCGGCGGACGCTGGCACGAAATTGACGTGGGGTGGACAGTTAAAGTGTACAAAGAACATTATATGTAGGATTTGTTGTTGTAAACGTGACTCCTTTCTCAAAGTCTTCGGGTTTAGAGTTAATTATAAATAGGAGTGACTTGGTTTTATTCTTGTTACCTGGATTTGGATTGCTGACATTCTCGTAAGAAATATTATTAAAATTTATTTTAAGCAATTTTAGTTGTTTATATTAGCGAAAACAAATGGTAAACAAGTTAATGTATTTGTTCGTACGCAGCTGACAGAATGAGTTAAATGAAACTGTGGGATGTAATTTCTTAAACATGTCATTGTTCGTAATGCCTTGAAATCAATTTGAATATTCAAGCATTAGCGAAAAATTGCTGACGCTGTAAACTTTCAGACTTCTGACGCAAATTTATCACCAGAGGGTTTTAACTTAAACATTCATACTTTTAATGAATGCGCAAATGCGTCCAAAAACGATGACAAATCGGTGAACATTTCTCATGACGGTTTTCATTTGGGTTTTAATGAAACATTTAAATCTTCTGCCCGGCCCCTACCTCAACAAAAAATCTCATCCCACGGGAATAATAAAAAATGTAATGTTTTTACAAGTTAAGCGCACACATCTGTTTAATAAACCATTCAATTATTTATTATTTGTGCGTACACGATAACAAATCATTGCAAGTATACAGTTTGATGAAGTGAAGACATCGCCGATCGACGTAAACACGCAGAGAGCACACAAGAGCAAAATTAATTGATTGACAATAAGGCTGCGTGCGCCAGAAAGAAAATTGATGGCGTGCGCGCGTGTAGAGCGAATCGGACAGTCTCGTTCATTGATTTGTGTTCATGAACCGACGTGGATGTTGTCTTTCATATTTATAGAGAGTGGTGGTGGGCTATTGGGCTATGGGGTAGTTAATGTTGAATGTTGTCTTGCACAAGTATTGAGTATATATGTAGATTCTGCAAATGTGGTTTGTTAACAGTTGACACAGTGTTCAATGTATTTGATATTTGGGGGATGTTCGGGATGTTGGATACGTAGGATGTTGGTAAATGGATTGTGTATGAGGACAGGAGTTGGGCGGAGTGCAATCGGAGATGTAGTTTTAGTTTGTTATTGGATTATCGATGAAATGATTTGTGCGCGGGAGGAAAAATGTGAAATTCTGCAAATTCTGATATTTCACAGAGTTGATTTATGATGTGTAGAGTCCATTAAATATTGAAAATATGATGGAAAATATATTGATGAGTTTGTGCTAATAATTAATAATAATCATATTACTAATTTCTATTATAAAGTTGGGAATGTTTGTTGGTATCGCTGAGACACACAAACAAAACAAAACAGTCAAATAAAAGATCTATTTGTCTTTACGTAAATAAACAGAAGATAGTACAAAGCGTTTCGAGATGGCGCTAGAATGCACTTGTTGGCACTAAATTAGTGCAGGTGATCTCCTAGTACGAGTTTGTTCGTGACTGTGAGGAGTTTGTTAGCATCAGTGAGTTCACATCACTGATTAGATCATTTGGAATGAAAGTACGTATAAACTTTGAAAACCTATATTTAAACGTAATTAAAAGTACTGTGTAATATAATATAATATTATTAAATCGAGTTAATTTAGATTATTATTATTTTTTAAATTTGTTACAAACAAAAGCAACAATTATTAATTGAACTGAACAGAACTGGAGAAAATGTGACATTGATTCATGTATTTTTATGTTTTTTTTATTTATTAATTAATAGTGTAAATAGAATTTACAATATCGGTATTCGGTATTACTTTTTAACCAAATATGGTTTTAAGTAATAATTCATACCAATGCAGGTGTCAATAAGCAATTAAAATATACATTATTCCATTACAAAATTATTCCGAGATGGTGATGCACTATTTGTGTAAGTTGAATCTGGTGATTTTTCGGTACATGTTTGTTTGGGTTCGTGCGTTGTGTTTATATCAGCGAGATAACATTGGTAAGGAGATTCATATCACGAACAAAATAATCAAGAAAGAGTTCTTCCCAACAATAAATGGGTAAACTCATCTAGGCTACACGTATAATTAAGACCACCAGATATGTGTTAAAAAAAATAAGCCTTAAATGTAAAATATTGCATGATAGTATTTGTTTTTATTTTGGTTTATTCCCCTTGTAACGCAAGCGGACAAGGCAGCGTCAACATTTATCTCAAGGCAAAGTCACTGATACTACGAGTAACAAACATGTTTAGCAAGATTCTCCTTAACATTTTAAATCATCCCGAGATGGCGCATGGATGTACATTTTTGCATTAAATTTATGTTGATATCAGTACTGGTTTGTTTGGGTCAGTGACTTGCTGTTAGCTTGTACATACCTGTAGACTGTGATAAACAGAAACACATCTACTATTTATTTACTTACAATGAATGCCCAGTTTCTTTAGATTTCTTTGTGAAATTCTCAAGATTTCCAGGGAAAAAAATAACTTGATTTGAGAGCTAGATATTTAATTTGCATTTTCTAGTATGAAAATAACTAAAAAATAGAAATTTGAGAATATTTGTTTAAATGGAGCTGTCATCACTCAAATCTTAGTTGCGATTGCTGCTTCAAACAATGGATTAGCAACTAAACAATTTATATCTAGGATTTTGCAGGAATGTATGAGCACTCTGACAAACAATGTTATTTTTATGATTGTTTAATCTAAGTGGCAGCTAGAAAATAATATTTTTTGTGGAAACTACCAAAACTTGACGAGAATCATCCAGATATTATTTGTTGAACATTGTAGCTATGATTATGATGAAATGACGAGACATATAATGTCATCCAGACATTTCATTCATCATCAAAATTTTAATCGTTTACATCGTATCATTTCATTTTATTTCATTCTCTCAATCATTTTCACTTCATTTCAATCAGTGAATACATAAATTATTTGCAAGTGGTTGGGTATTTCTGAAAGTGTACTGTAGTTGCATCGATGTTTAAGTAGTAAATGAAGATTCGAGTTTTAATGTGAACCGCTTAGAAATTGAAGAAATTAATTGGCAATTAACAACGCATTAAGAAGTAAAGGTTAGTTAATTGTATATTTTTATTATGTTCGGTAGTCTTCAATTTCTTTGTTTTTATTTATCAGTTTACGGCCAAGAGATGTTAGATATTAATTACATCAATATAACAATGATTGATTGAAGTATACAGCAACCAATGCAAATTACTCACTTATCAAACAACAGAACCTTTATTACACTTGAAATCGTTTAAGTTTCAGACAATGGTGGTTATAGTAATGTATCATATTTTATAATCGGCTTAAATATAACAGAAAAAAAGAATTATTCAAAATTTTATGTTAGAAGTTCATTTATAAAATTTTAGCACAAAATTGTGTGAATTATGAAGTCACCATACAATGTATTAAGGTTATTATATCTTTTCATGACTTCCAACAAATTTTCACAGCTTTTAGAACTTTTTCACGACCCTGGTTCCGTGCAAAATAATGTTCATCCTATTTACAGCATTTTATGTCGTTTTCATCGAGTTCATTTATATTTATACTGTATATTTAGGAAATTATGATTGCAGTGAAGGTGATTCTTTTATAACCGTGATTCACTCCAAACAAGACTCTAAAATTGTCTTTAATTATGTATTAATAAAAATGCATTACTTATTTACTACTCAGAAGGTAATTTACTACTAACTTAATGAATTTGTATTTATGCGTGTTCTGTGGTATGAATGTAGAGGGTAAAAAGCATAAATTCATGACAAATTGAACGCAAGCGTGTCGATTAGATTAGATTCATAGATTTGTCGCGAAAGGGCGCTGCCCTCAACTGAGTCGACTTTAATTAACATCGCCGACCGAGTGTAAATACGCCCAGGAACGCAAACAAAAACAAACGAACCAAAAGCTAAAGCTAAAGAAACTAAATGAAAGAGGGTGGGTACAAAGGATTGCAGATTATCCAGAATATTTGCGGTGTGGGGTCCCATTCAGTAATTTATGGAATTTATGATTGGATAAAATGTTTATCTTGTACATAATCAATCGATGTTTTTATTATTATGCTAAACTTAGTTCATATTTTGTTTGATGTATGAGGTGAACGTCCTTTGATTAACAAGAAAATACTTTTTGTATATTATATAAATATGGCGCTCATGTAACAAAAAAAAAGTTGTCTAAGTTGTTTTTGCTCATTTATTTCATTGTTATTTGGGTGTTTGTGTTATTTTAAGCACGCAATGAAAAAAGCTGCTGTTGTGGTCGCGTCTGTTTCGCATTCCGTCTGCAAATCTAATACGAAAAGTCACAACTTTTCACTTAGGATTTAACTGTTTTTGCGGCTCAGCATGACCAACGAACACATAAGAGAAGGAAAAAAAACGACGCACTCAAAGTTTTAGGGAAGTCCCTAGTGGCGGACACCTAAGGTTATTTATAAATAAATCAAAAAATATTTGAAGAAATGTTAATTAAATTATGACATATAGTAGTTAACAAAGTTAGAAATCAAATTAAAATAACAAAAATGCAACCTCTGTTAAAAAATAATTAATACTATCAATCAAACTTTGGTAATAAAAAGTATAGTTTTAAAAAGTGGCACCTAGTACCGGACACATATTTGTGCCATACCCCCCTCACCGGACATTTCAAATATGTCATATGGTTAGGTAGGCTACCTTGTTTGGTATTATTTATGGGGCGGTGGGGGGGTGGGGTGATAGAATTTAACGATTTAATCAACGGATTTAACTCACTGACTAGAAGCAGCCCGTGAATGCATACATCCACTAGCTAATGTGTTCATTTCAGTTACAATGAATACTTTAACTACGAATTTTAGCGAATGTATGCATTGCCTAGTAAATGTATACATTTACTAAATGTATGCATTGACTGCAACATAGCCATCTCCTCACTCTCTCTCTCTCACAAGAAATATCAATATGTTTACTGTCCGGCGCTAAGGGACAACTTAGTGTCCGGTGCTAAGGGACAGACATTTTCGTTGATTTGGTGGTACCTACCAAAATTGTTTAAAAAATCTAATAATATTCTACCATTTTACGGATAACAATCAAGTACTACTTGTATCTTTGAATACCACTCAAATGTAAATGCATAAATATACTAGTATTACATACATTGATATTTAGGTGACGTCGTGATTTTGCGCCTGAAACAGCAAACGGCTGCTCCCGCCGTGGCCGTGTGCGTTACTGGCGAGCCACGACGAGTGATCCTGTACCTGTGTGCCCCCCGCGCCCCTTTCACTTGTTTTTTGAAATGAAAAGATTTAAACTAGCTTAAATAGTACGAGTGTCCGGTGCTAGGTGCCGTCCGGCGTTACGGGACTTCCCCTATTATATGCACATGCCACACACGGTAAAGTGTGTTTTTGCCGAATGTTTCATTTCGGCAATTCTCCAATCTGACAAATTCCCATTTTCTACATTTCCAGTTTCCACGTTTTCGCGTGTGCAATTCAGCAAATCCGTTTCAAATCGCATTGTCATTGTGTATCCAATCCAAGCGGATTTTACCCCTTCGAAAACAATGTGTCTCATTCTTTTGTATGTAGATTCAAATTAATTGTAAAAAAAATCACAAAATGTTAAAAATCGTTGTCTATTAGGCGATTGGCGGGTTGAAATCGACCGGAAAAACCGAAAAACGTTCGGCTCACGCACGGGATGAACGTAATCGACGATGACGTGCGCACCTTCATTCAATGTATGCGGCATACAATACGAAGCGATATGAATGAATAGAACCAACGGCGGCGGCTTTGGCGGCAGTGGCGGCAGGCACGAGAGACGAAAGAGAATGACATTATGAATAGGCTTCCGTGTTGGTGGCGCGCAGAATAGAAAATGGAGGCACAGCAAAAAAGCAGAACGTGCGCCAACGTCAAAGTCAATTTATTTCTCATTAGGTGCACTCTTCTCTTGTCGAGGAAAAGCATAACGCAATTTTGTCGGTTTACCTTTTTTTACTCCTCTCGCGCCATTTTTTTCCTTCGTTCAATTTATGCTTTATTGCATATCATTCAAGATGATACAGAAATTACACTTTTAAGAACCCAGAAAAGAAAATTAACTCTCTTTACTTTTATTACAAAATTTTCAGCAGACCTGGATCTTAATTTTAAAGTTTAATGCGTTAATTATAAAATATTATAAGGTATTTTTAATCAAAAAATTTCCTTAGATGGTAAATAAAAATCTAGTTTTATATGCGTCATATTCTCAGATAATGATCGTATGTGCACACGTCGGCGTCTCGGGCGATAAAAATAGCATTTTCCAATTTGTTGGAAATCGTAACTCACCGCAACTCTTCGTTTTTAACGGCTCCATTTCGAACCACCCCTCACCTTAACGCCGCGACGTGTCGTCGATAACCGCGTGAAAAATTGATATCTAATGCGATCGAGTGCAGCCGTTTGAAGATAAATATAACCTGCAACGATAAAAATAAACTTGAGAATCGATTGATGCTCGTCTGAAAATAACTCTCACTTATCAACAAATCACCAATCACATTAACGTACATCATACAAATGTGTAACACCTTTTTAATTATAACGAGTAAACCTACAAGAATCGTTGCACAAATATTTATTCTTATTTTAGAATCAATTATAAACTTATTTAATGACATCAATCTGTTTTGTGTTGCTTTGTGCGTGCGTTGATTTAAAACATAAATGCTTAATTAACAGCGCGGCGGGTCCATTCACGCGGGTTTAATCTTTCCTCTTGACTCGTGGGGGTCCAATTTGCTTGTGAATGCGTCTCACGTGCGGGAACATCGTCGAGGTCCCGGCAGTTTCGTAAGTTAACGCGAAATCCATTAAACGTGCTGGCAATTTGAACATTTTAGCCAGCGCCATTCTACCTAGCTGAATACATAGTCTTGCATTAACTCCAACTAAAACACGAGATGAAGGTGAGGACTCTTAGATGTGACACGGTGGAGAAATAGAATTTCTTGGAGTTTCATCATGTTTTGATCTGAGGAAAATGTTTGAAAATTTAACTGTCTGAAAATTTGTATAAACATAAATAAATATATGAATGCTCTGTACTCTGTAAGTATTCATTTCTTTTTCTGTTCTTCTTGATTTATTTTTTATTTGCGTTGTCTGCGACTGGTAAACGTTCGGTAAACAAAGAAGGACGAATTAAAAAGGCCAAAAGTATAAAAAAGACTTTGAGTTTACATATAAAAAACAAATGTATCAAATTACATTCACGAACAAAAAAAAACTCATCATGAAAAGTACATATTACAAAAACCTTTTATTGGATGCTTCGTTTCGATATATTTTTTCTCCTGGGATGCTGTAATAAAGTCTGAAATAATTCTTTTTGTTTTAGATTGTAATAAGTCAAAACACACAATGTCGTCACGCTCGAAAGAAAAGATGACAGCAATGTTCCGTAAAATCTTCCGCTCGTCGTCCAAGAACGACGAAGGACCGAGCAAGCCATCTCCATCTGGCAGTGGTTCTCCAGCACGTCGTCTATTACGTGGTTGCCGTGACAGTGTTTCCCCAGCGCCGCCCACCGGAAGTCCAGCGTTCAAAGCGCCATCCAGCACTTCCACCAGTAAGAGCAAAAAGCCCACGCTGGAAGAGACGCCTATCAATAAAACAGTACGCGCCCGACGCCTAATGAAGGAATTTAAGGACCTTCAAAAACTGCAGCACTCCAAGCCGGATCCGGTATTTACTGTAGATCTCGTCGATGATAACCTTTTCGAATGGCACGTGCGCGTACACAAGTTGGACCCTGAAAGCGATCTCGGCAATGACATGAAAGAGCTGGGTATTACGCACATTCAGTTACATCTCACATTTCCAGAAAATTTTCCGTTTGCCCCGCCATTTATGCGAGTTATTAGTCCAAGAATCGAGAAAGGTTTTGTGATGGAAGGTGGCGCCATCTGTATGGAACTATTGACGCCGCGTGGTTGGGCAAGCGCTTATACAGTGGAGGCAGTCATAATGCAATTTGCCGCTAGCGTGGTGAAAGGCCAAGGGCGCATCCAGCGCAAGACCAAAGGACAAAAAGGATTCACGAAGCGATCGGCAGAGGAGAGTTTCAGGTCGCTGGTCAAAACGCACGAGAAGTACGGATGGGTGACGCCATCTTTGGCGGACGGATAAATCCAATCGATTAGATAATTACAAATAAAACTTTCAACTGAACAAGAAAAAAGTCGAAACTTTTTAAAAACATTTTTATATGAACGAAAAAGTACATTCTAAGGAAAATTATCCCAATTAACGACTCACCGAATAAATGAACTTTAGCTAAACATGATTTATTTACGCAAGCAAAATTTTACAGGGTTCAAACTAACAGTTTCGTTATAATTGTAAGCATTTATTGAGTGTAGCGATCGCTGTAGGTGTAATTATCTCAAAATGTCAAAACAAATCGAAGTGCTGATCTAATTAGTTCGATTTTAACCGTCCATTATATTAAATTAATTAGTTCTCATTGAGAAGTTTGTAATTTGAGAGGTTTTAGTTTATTTTTCGAAATGAAAATTTACACAAAATTTGACAAAAGAAAATATAAACTAATATGACGTAATTTAGCAAATAACATCCAAGTAAACAAAATAGTTATATAAATAATTATGGTTTGAGTAGGTTTATGAATAGTTTATTAACAATACGTTTGTTTTGTTAGCAATTGATCAAAAAATAAAACCAAAAACCAAAAATATTGTACTACAACCATAAATTGTAGCAGAACTTAAAAAGTATGTAGTTAGTCAATTAGCATAAACATCAAATCTGTGTAATAATCAATATTTTATTGAACTCTGAGCGATTTAATGAAAACTGGCTCGTACTGGTTTAATTTCACGTCCGACGAGTTATTAATAAACAGTGATAACGAAAATACGCCATTCTGAATCAAAATCCACCACAACTGATCGAACAAAATGAAAAACTGAACGCAAATCAGTAGTAAATAAATAATTATCGCCATAAACAATGCGATGATACTAAACAAATGAATCTACTGTTTTGTTTTGTAATGACTGGTGTCATACAGGCCAAACGTTTATTTGTTTTACGCCTGAATACATTATATTGATTCAATTTCATAAAATAATAGCAATCAAAACGAAAATAAATCAAAATGCACATTGACTAAAAATGACTAAGAAATTAGAAGTTATTTTTGTAAATGCTTTGTTTATCAGTATTATTTTTGTGTTGATGTAATGACATAGTTTAATTTAAATTTAAAAACAGTGATTTTTAGTTGTATGAACAATTTGTGCCAACTTACCTTGTACATTTCCAATCATTCAATCGACGTTTAATGAAATGAATGAGTGTAATGTAATATGAAACTATAATTATTTGTATACTTGTCATTGAGTGTCTTGAAATCAAAGATCATCGACGTGCACGCAACAATAACTCAATTACTATAACCACAGATGTTGATTTAGTGCAATAGTTACGGTTAATTAGGAATATAAAGCATGTTTACGTTTATGAAGAAATACAAATTTGACTTATTGTTGCATGGATGGATAAAATCTATGAATAACTTCATTCGTGTGTATAAATAGCGCATTCTACTAGCTAGCCAATCAAAGACACCTTCTAGAAGAGTCATATATATCTCCTAATCATCCTAAACTATGATATATATTGATGTTGATTCATTAATTAATATGTATGAAGAACTAAGAAACTATTATGTATGAATGGTAATCATCTGTATAACATTCTCATGAATCGAAACATTTAGTGGAATTCCTCTCGAAATGCTACAATTCCATACAATGATGTTCAATTTATTGTATTTGATTGTTATTCAAGTGTTTTAGCATAAGTATAATAATGTGACCGGTGATAAAATACATAAGGATTTATTACACGTGTAAATGTTTAAAAGAAGAAAATCAAAATGATGATACTGGTAAATTATAAAACGTGTAACTTCATTGATATGTAACGTTATTCTTTTATTTTGAAAGAAGTGATTTTTTGATCTAGTATATTGCCATTTATGAAATTACTATATTGAAATAAATGTGTACCAAAACATTGTCGTTGTATAATTCTTTTAGTAGCGTATTCAAAGTGGAGATATTTCGATACATGTTTTGTATAAGTTTTTGTCAACACAACAAGTCACCTCATGTACCTCCCTACCCCTTCAGTGTGCAGATACGAAATTTATCGCGTGAGATCAGTCGAGTCGCGAGTACTGTGTGCACCACACAGCTTGTGCAGAATGTTCGTTAAAATTAGCGTTGTATTATGAATTCTGGTGGATCTTTTTGTGTAATACTGTCAAGTAAGTAGTGCACATTAGTTTCAGCTTATTACGTTGTGGAAACTTCAAATATGTCATACAATTCGCAACTTGTTGTTGATTTATTCGTCAATGTTGTACTTGATCAAACGCATTCTTTTCTTGATGCGCGCGCGTCCCGGCGATTTAACTACGCTGGCGGTTTTGGGTCTTATCATTTGTTAGTCAACTTCATACATCTTTCTACCTGCTATATGGCAGTAAACACACACAACTTTGTTGTTTTGAATTTAATAGACATAGCGTGGTATAATAAAAATTAATTGATCCATTCTTATGTTTTAGGTTTTTCGCTAAACGAATATAACAAGTCATCGATTATTTAACGAAGAAGTACTTTTTATCGTATTATTTAAATTTTAACTGTGAGTTATCGGGTACGGGTCGCGTGAAAATCTGCAATTCTAACATAACTTTTGAGTCGTTCTATTAATGTGAGTGTGAATCGGTAGTGAATCGGTACCGCGATCATAAGAATAAAGGTGCCAAGTCCACTTCGAACAGTATAGCAGTGTTTTGAACCAGAATTCAAGAATTGTCCACCCTAGCAGTGCTGTAAATCTTCAAGTAGTAAGTACACCTGACACCAAACTGGATGTCTTGTATTTATATGCGCCAATCACAACACTCGAGCAAGTAATGAAAATTGCAAAATTAATTTAAAATTAAATCTAAAGAAAATGTATTCTATATTTTAAAGTCGTTTCTGGCATGAATTGACTGTTTAATATTCAACGGTATATGGTATTTTGAAGTTTGTTGGCTTTTTAAATTTGACGTATGAACTGTTGCCAATGTTGGCTAGTGGCAAACAGAAAAGTCCCAGTTCTCAGAATCTCTCATATTCACTGCAAAATTTCGGTTTCATCGAATGTCATTCGCACCGGTATTAAGAAATTATATGTAATATCATTGTCACACAATCTCAACGCAAGAAAGACTTCAGCAAATACTCGAATTCATTCGATACCAAAACTCTCATAGAAAATCCGTAGCAAAGCATAAATATGTTGATCAAAGTGAAGGTGAGTGATCTCTAGGTTAGGTGAACCTACTAACCATCGTTCGGTTTCGCTCACTTTCCTCGTTCTAGACTCTGACTGGCAAAGAAATTGAAATTGATATCGAACCCACTGATAAAGTGGAACGTATTAAAGAGCGCGTTGAAGAGAAAGAAGGCATTCCACCACAGCAGCAACGCTTGATTTTCTCAGGGAAACAAATGTAATTTGCTTTTGCAATACAAACAATCATGATGAGACTTAAGTTTGCTCACTGCAATTATTTTAAATTTTTTAGGAATGATGAAAAAACAGCACAAGACTATAAAGTACAGGGCGGTTCTGTTCTGCATTTGGTGTTAGCCCTTAGAGGTGGGTGCAGCAGTGACACTGATACATTGTAAAGAGCTTAAACTTATTTAAATTAATCTTCTTTTGGTAATATGATATCACACTTCTTTAAAGCATTATATTTAAGTGCATATTGAGAGGAGTATGCTGGCTGGATAATATTCAATAAACGGAACTTTTTGTAGTTTGGTGTATTATTTTGCTTGTGAACAAGCCTACCAGTGTTGGTTGGATAGTGTGTGTACAGAGGTAGAACAGTTCATATTGAGGTGGCCTTGTGCTCTCAAGTTTTGTCTAAGCAAAGTATAAAAAAAGGGAAAATAATGGATAGAGCTAGGGTTTGTGAACATTTATGCAAGCTGAACGAAAATATTTCGATCGGTAAGTGAAATTAGCAATTTTACAACAGTTTTTATCATGAATAACAACTGATTTTTGTTAACCTCAATTAGTTCTAAAATTTGCCCGGCTGATGTCGGGCCATACACAGTTTAAACTGATAGTGTTTAAATGCGCCCATAGATGGCGCTGCATGATCTAAACTGTTAAAATTTTGTTGTAGAATCTGCAAGTTTAATGCAAGTATTGTTGAACAATTGCCATAAAATTAAAGAAGAGAATGAAATATCATTTAATGATCTCGATTTGGGAAAACTAAATATTGATTCTGATGTGGATACATATTTAATATTGAATTTTCACTTCTTGAATGAATTAAAATCATCTCTAATGGCATCTGATGATGCATTAAATGTTCTTAGTTTACAACAAAATAAAATGATTCGCGATGCATTGCATCAGTTGATCATAATTGGTATTCGCTTCAATTTGCAACCGAAGCTACCGCAATATATTAAACCCAATCAGTCATACGCCTCCGAAGCGAAAACGTTGACATCTTATTATAATCGCTTATGCTACACAACACGCTTCTTAATTTCATTGTTACAATGCGATGGTTTGCGCCCGCTTATTGTCGTTGTTGGATTTGATGCGATTTTGAACGCTATATATCAAATAATATACTGCCCGCTTAAGAAACCCGGAGACTCATCTGGAGGAAATCTCATTACACAAGAATTATATGATGGATTTAAACAAGACCAATGTGAGTTTTGCCAGTTGCTAGATCATTGCCAGGAGATAATGCCTAAAGAAATATTTATAAAAGAAACGATGTTATTATTAAGATCTGAATGTCGATGGTTCACTGCTGCGGTGAATAAGAATTTGAACAAAATGTTGACTGCTGAAAATGGATTAATGTTAATAACTAACGTCCTAATGGAACCTTCGAGGGACTATGAATCCAATGATAGCACCAAGAATTGGAAGACTATTGATGTGCTCACAAAACTGATTATCGGCATGAGAACCAGATATGGTATTAATGAGTCTGTTAAGCAGCAACTATTGAAGCTTGTATTAGAAGGCGATGGAAGTAAAGGTCCTTTTGAGATGATATTTGTTTCATGTGTAAAAAACTTCTACCTTGTCGACAAGGAATTATGTAGAATCGATCTGCTTGCACCTGTTTTTGGCTTAATATTACTGCAGTTAATTAATGTGGACGAGATAGCCATGGCTGTTATACCTTTTGAAGAACATTACTTTTTAAACAAAAAGGAGGATGTAACGGATGCTATTCAACGAACAATGCGGCTGTTAAGATTGCTATTTGTTGAAACTACCGTAGGTGCACCCGATTTACCCAACTGCGAATTATCGATTTGTATTGATGCAATTTTCCGTATTTATACGGCGACAACACATGGTCGCTCCTTCAATGCGACCATTGAGGCTATCGTGCAAGATATGGAAACGATCTTAATAAATTATCTTTGGAAAGCATCTAGAGGAATTGGTTACAACGATGCAACAATATTGAAGAAAATTAATAAACACATATTCGATACATGTTTATGTGGTTCCAGGGTTACGTTTTTCTACCGTGGTGTAGATACGCGATTGAGGCCACATGCAATCTTTTTATTTAACGAATTTTTGTCAGTAATATTAGCTGATAATAAATTTTTTGTTTCTCTATGTCCGCAAGATATTGCATTATCGAATGATGAGACTCTTCGAGCGCAGGCGTTATATAAATTACTGAAAAAGCCTGACACTCGTATCAGCGACAAGTTTAAGATGTCATTTTTTCTCCGTCTTTTGACTCTCTTTAATAATCCTCCCGGAACTTCTCGGAAAGGACAATCGGTAACAGAAGCCGAACGAAAGTTTACGGACATGTCGAAGAAATTACGCCTGTATAATCTGTTGACAGCGCTTGTAGAAGACAAGAACGTGCAGAAGATGCTCTCAGATGATTCTTCGGATTTTTTTGACTTTGTTGGCGATGCGTTGACGAAGGCGATCCAGAGAGGGGAGTATCGCAAGGATAATTGCGAGTCATCTGATTTCCGGGTAATATTTTTGTTGATCACAATCCTGCAAGCGTTGGTGACAACGACATGCAAAAAGAAATGGACAAAAGTTGCTGTTGTATTGAATCCATTGCAAACGATACGCGATCGGTGCGTTAATGACGAATTGCGCGCCTTGGCGACGAGCGTTATTGATGCCTTAGAAGGCCGTGGAAGTGGCATTACAGGTTCTGCCCAGGAAGATGACGGTGAGGCTAAATGCAAGAGCGAATTAGATAAAGCTATCGACGACGTCTGTGATCCATTGCTACCGGTGCGTGCTGCCGGGTTAGTAACACTTGCTAAACTCGTCGAGAATAAACATCCTGACGTATTGGGACGAAAAATGTTCATTTTAAACATTTTTCATGTAAGTGTAATGCAACTTATTTATACAACTTCATCAGATAGCGTTTGTTTTGATAGCAAAACATAAAACATGAAGATTCGTATATTTATCTGCAAGCGATTAAGGGGCTGGTGACGATGACCGATCTCTTTCCCGATACGGTGTTGGAAATTCTCGTAGACGAATATTCTGGCTTAGATCAAAGTATGGGCGGACCTGCGACGAGTCTTGAGACGCGCATGAAGTTGGGTGAAGTTCTAATGAAAGTTTCACGCAACTTAGGTAAGTAACTACATTATTCACCGTAGCGCGTGTGCGTCAGCCGTAATCAACTTCGATAATTGTTTAATTATGCCAAGCACGATTAAACATTTACGCGGTTTTACCGCCGATCGATTAACAAATTAGCAAATTATCGAATTCCTCAAGTTTCCTTCGTCTGGGGTTCTAGGACTTGAATGGTTTGCTGACGTAATAGGATTACTGTTTAACTTGATGAAGGTTTATTTAAAGTTTGATATTTGATTAACTATAACGAATTTTTTTATTCGAAAATGTGCTGTGAAGTAGGAAGAAGTAGACGAACAGATGCAAACATGGCTTTAATGATATTAACATTATTTAAGGTGTAACGCGCACCTGAGCGTGCCGACTGTCGACTGTCGTCGTGCAGTCGTGCACTCCACTTTCTCGTCGTTACCACACCACACAGAATGACATTACCTTTGTGCGCATTGCACTATTGCACGTGTGGCTATATCTCGCGAGCATCTTCCAGTGTGCATCGTCGCGCTCATTACTCGCACGCTGTGTGCCATTTGTGTCGTTTTGCGCGCTCGTGCCGTCTGTGCCACTATCGGCATGAGGTATGTGCCCTTGTATACGTGTGCCGCATTGGGCACGCTTGCCAGGTACTCGAGATAATTCGCCGCGCTTCTATTCTAGTTTTCTACGAAAGGGCGAAGTCTTAGTTTATAACAAACACGATTGTAGGTACTTGCTAACTCGAAACTTGAGAGTGAGTTAATATTTCTGGAAACTTGTCTTGCTATTCAAAACTAAAAATACTTCAGGATTTATTATTTAATTTAGTTTTAACGTATAATGGTTATGACTTATGTCAATTTGTTCCCGTATAAAATCAAAATACTTAAATTGAAGTTACTGCCAACGAAATTGTCGTTTACGTGCGAATGTGCCGGTATTATTTTTCTTTGGGTTTATTCCTCTGCACATATGATTTTATTCGCGTTCCTCCATGCCGGGTGTTGCTGTTTTAACAACTGTTTAACGGCACAATAAACGAGCGTGCGAAACACGTTTCATATTGAATTCTTATAGAGTTATCATGCGCGCGAATAAATAAAAAGCCTTTTAGCTATTTGCTGCATTTCAACCCATCATCGCGTCGACGATGAGAAAATGATAGTGTTGAACTTTACACCTTAGCTATAATAAAATGTACAGGAATAAAAATTGCATTTTATATGATCAAATACATAAATTTATTAAAAACGAAGATTTATTTAAAAAAAAATTTAATTCGTATTTTGTTTAAAGATTGTTTTTAAATTCATCTTCACATATAATGCAAATTTGAAACCTCGTAACGATCTGCTTCCTTTCTCGGTCATTATAGTCATCAACTTGAATTGACTGACTCGGACTTGCAGAATGAAAAACAAGCCCCGACCTCTCGACGCACGATTATTATTATACATCTAAGATTTTACCCACACACGCATGGCAGTTGTGCGTGGCGCGGCTTGAAAGAAAACTTTATAGTCGAGCGAACACCGAGTCACCATCACGCACAACGCTAAATAAATTATAAACGATGATAAACATTTAAATGCACAAGACGTACAAGGCATTCAAGATGCAAGACAAGCTTAACTGTACCTAACAAATGATATATCAGCAAAAAATCTATTTGAAGATAATCTTCTTGTTCGAAGTGATGGATTTGAATAATACTTATTAATATAATTTCTTAGTAGTGTAGAATAGTTCTTCTGAACTAGATCCATATGTCAACAAACTTAAGTGAATTAAAGAAGAGAAATTTAGAACACGCTACTTAAGTGCGACAGATGTATTAATAAGGCGATTTTACAATCGCGAATATTCAACAACGAATGAAGCAATAAGAAAAAAAAAGGGAAAAGTGTGTTAACACACATTGTTAAGTGGTGCTTGAGCATTTCAATACATTTATTCATCGCATGATAATTATCATTGATGATTGCAACTTCTAAGTTTTTGTAAGGGGAAAAAAAATTCTTTGGTTGTGATTTGATTCACAGGTCGATGACGTTTAAAATATGAAACTTTCTGTGTTCTTATTGTAATAATACAGATAATGAAGAAAGTCTCGAACAGTAATGTTGCTTAGAGTGCATTTGAATAAGTTTGATTTCAATTTGCTTCAATTGAAGATAATTAATTAAAAGTTTTAGATATTTAACATTTTTTATGTTGAATGTGGCTCAATTCTCCGGTGAAATATTCTGTGTCATTACATGTCATAATAAATACATTACCGAAGTGATAGTCGGGAGTGCACTTCAAAGTAATCTATGCGACTTTATGACCAAAGTGCTTCGAACGCATTAAAACGCACCAGACTTCACACACGAGGTGAAACCATTACTGATTGGATCGTTACTACACTAAGTGTTTCAGTAAAAAATCAAATGTAATCATATTTAATTACTGATTTAATGATTATCATTGAATTATTTAGTTTTTGAAGTATGATATTTTTCGCTGGAAGTTAATTTTACGATATTTTAAAACATTTAGCAAAATCGTCTTATCCTGTTCTTGCTCCACTTTGGATTCTCGCCGTGTTGCATCGTGTGCGGAAGCATGGGGCGACTCGAGCGAACCACTGTGACACTCTACATGACATTACATGCGCGACATGCGCGTTTCTTCGTGTAACATAACTGGAGTCTGACATTGCGACTACATACCCAGTATTAACGGTTACTAATTGTATTTGCCGGTGTCTCCCGTGCAAGTCGCGGCGGATTATAATGCGGTTTCGAACTTTGCCATGACTTGCATGAATTTGATTTGACGTTGTGGGCGAGCTTGGATAAAAAGTAGATGGGCAATAGTAGCTTAGGACACAATAAGCACGATAAATTGGTTGCATACAGTCCAACTAATGTGTTATAACCTCAATTGTGTGTTATTTTTGTTCATTTAGGCGACAGGGCGCTACAATATAAAAGTCTTCTATTGAATACGTTCTTATTGACCGCCAAGGACGACGATCATCTTATGCGTGCGTCGAGCTTATCAAATCTCGGTGAGCTTTGCCAGGTCTTGGGCAATAAACTTGGTACAATTGTTAACGAAGTAAGTGTTCATTTTTCAGACGTTTTCTGCCACATTTTCTCGTTAATTCAGTTTTGTATTTGCTATTGTATACGCTTGTAATCCAATTTTTGCCGCCATCGTGAATGATTAATAGGTGCTGGATTTGGTGCGCGACGTGATCATGACAGACCCGGCGGTGGAGGCTCGCCGAGCTGCTGTGACCGTCTTTCGTGGGTTGTTTATCGGCCTTGGACCCAAAACGTTTCCATTTTTTCATGGTCAGATTGAAGACGTTTACCGCTCCCTGCGAGAGATCTACGACAAAGACGACGATGCCGTTATGCGATTGCAAGCTCAACTTGCAATCGAAGAGCTTCAAGCTAGCAACATGGAAAGGTTTAATCAACTTCAATTATAAACACAAATGGAACTTTACTTTAGCAGTTTATTTTTGTATTTTTATACAAAATTTATATTTCTAGTAAAATAATGTAATAAGTTAAAAATCACTACGTCTACGTGCATACACCCGTGCGCAATTTGTCTCCATTGATTATCAAAACAAGTTCTGTTTGTATTTTTGCTTGAAAATTGCTTTGATGTGTGTTTCAAACTGCGCACGGTGCAAGCACACAAGTAAAAGTTAAACCACAACAAATGCGCATCACAATTTCACCTACATCAAACATAAATTTAAAAATAAAATAAGAGAAGAAAGTCGTGTTGTTTTTTTTGTTCTCGTGGTTTTATTCTACGCGATCGTGTTGCAACTGGACATGGAAGCGATTGAACGCGTGTCGCACTCCTTGAGTAGGCGTGCTTTAATGCGCAGCCGGACGATCTCCATCAGGCCGACCGCGATACCGACGAGCATCAAAAGGAAGACGACGATCAAAGGCACGCGGAAGTAGAGCGTGTCTTCGTCGGCGCGTCGAGACTTGTCAACGTTGGGATTTACTAAGATTCAACAAATTAACACATTAGTTTCGTTAACATTTATTTTTATCGGAATTTTTCTCACCTAAGGCTTCTGGTTTATGTAGTACTCTTCCGGTACGTCCTCTATCGCTTTTTTTATCATTCACAGAGTTTTCTTCTTCCAAAGTGACTTTGCCTTGTCCTTGACCGTGATGTTTCTGATTATTTGGTAAATTCAAACCTGCTCGAACAGTCAATGTTTCTGGTTGGTATGTGCACAGGACTAAAAATCTTCTTGTGCTATGCGTTAGAATGGGGAGATTTTCTTGAACCAAAACAAAGGTTGCCACAGTTGTTTCATTTACTGCACTTCCACATTCAGCATGATTTATACGCAAAGTGTAGGTGTCTCTAGAACTATGTGGTTCACCATCAATTGCACATCTTTCACCATCGGCTGCTTCCACAGCAATTCGACCACCAAAGTGTGGACCTGTTGAAACTTCTATTTCTGACGCGTGAGGAAGACATTGCGTTGCTTTTGCTGAAACTAATAGCAAACATTTTTAAAGATTAGTTTCAGTTTGCAATTTCCCATTATAATTATAATTACATCCTTTGGTTGGTATGACTATGATATTCTGATTGGTGTCATCACCATCGGCCCGATCTTCTCGTGTACCTTTGGACTTCATCTTAACTTCAAATGAATATGTGGTTGCCATTCGTAAACCGACGATTTCAGTTGAATATACGCGTAGATCTTCCCCGTCGATGTCCATCCCGGCGCCTTCGCCATTCATTTGGTCGTCAACTAATTTGGTGCGGCACCGTTGGGAACCCCACGATTGCAGCTCGCAGTACCTGATTTGGAAGTTGGCCGGCGCGGGGACATTGAACTTGTCCGTCTCCCAATGCAGCTGGACCTTTCTATAGTCCGGCTCGCCGATCAGATTCTTCACGTCTGCAATTACCAAAAGAAAGATGATGACAGTTAATTTCATGGATATATATATAACCTTATAATTATTGTGTTGCATATTGTGCGTGAAAAGTTTTTACTTGTTGAAAAAAGGCAGACCATTTATTACGTTTGAGTTTTACGGCTTATTACGTATTCGTATGTGCTAGTTGCTCGGGTTTTTGCTGTAATTCGTGTAATTTCTACCGATGCGTGCGTGCGGTTAATCGACGCGTGTGGATGTGGAAAACGACGAATTAAATACCGTTTACGGTGGAAATTAAATTTAAAAATAACTGAATCTCTCCTGTATTGCCTGTGGCTGTGTGTGTGCGGTAGTATGTGGACCTTCTAGCACGATGGGTGTACATGCCCATGTGGCAGATAATGACTTTTTGCCTTTTTTTGACGGTGACGAGGAACGGCGCTTTTTTTTTGGTTGTTCGTGCCGCGCGCAGGCCGTAATTCTTTTGCATTTTTCGTCGTGACGCCCGGTTTCGACACGAAGCGCATGACACCTTTCGGATGGACGGTACTCCGTGCCCACGATTTTTGAATTATGCACGTGAGCCTTTATTTATAGCAGGTCATAACCAGAACCAGAACCGAACGTCGGCCGAAGTCATAATTTGAAAGAACCATGCAGAAAGAACGTTTCTAGGTTAGGTTTGCGCTTAAATAAATTAAGTTGAAGATAATTTTACTGTTAGGTTATGTCATAACCCTAAAATCTGTTTGGTTTAAGTGAAATTATGCAAAAAGCGGGTTATTTTCTTTTGTATTCTAAGTTAAACCGACTGAAAAACGAATAAGTTGCTATTTACGTACTATTGAATTGCATAAATGTTGAATATTCATTAATTCAGTGCCTTATTACTAATTCATTGCAAACTTATTTAAAACATGCGCAAATTAGAGTTATCTATTGCATCTACCGTAGTAGAATTGCATTAAACACAACTAATGATAATATTACCGCATTCGAATAAACATTAATTAAACCATTATCCGAACCTGTTTAATAACGCTAATTGTCTTTCCGAGTGAATCTGTACGTGTATAGGTATGTGAGCACATCGCATCCCGGGATTCCGGCTCGCTACTCGCGCGCTCGTAAAATGAGCAGAATTAGCGATGAATTCATGCAAAACGCGGTTGCAGTTAAACCGCTAATCATTTCTCGCATTACAAAACACAACGAACAACGAGAAGTCATCATTCGAACATCATAATATTAACGCACTCCTAACAACTATACACACAATAAAACACCACTAAACAACTGTCCGCAAGCAAACTGGTTTATACGCGTTGAAATTGCAGTTGTCTAGTTTTTTACTTAGTCTGTTTTTCATGAGCGGCATATTCCTAGTTCAGGAATTTACATTCGTGTTATTTATAAGATAACTGCAAACTGCAGTTGCTGGTAAATCAAATTATGACTAATTCTTGCATCTACAGTTGTTATTTGTTGTGATGTTAGGAAATTTATTCGCATCGAATAGTGTTAAACATCTAACACAGCAGTTGCAATGATTGTTGCATTTGTAACCATCAATTAAGTTAGATCTAATGTACTCTTTCACACCTCGCAGAACGGATTATTATGATATATTATGATTGAAGTGTAGTCCTAATGAAATTCCCAACTGGCTATTGATAATTGCGGGTTTCGAGTTGGTGCGGAGTGAAAATTACGCTTCAGTCTAATAATTTTATAATTGCTTGCTGCACGAATAAGCATGGAGTCCATAGAGAATTTCTAAGAAAGAGAACTATGTAGTGTTGTATTTTCAATTATTTACAATTTTTCATAGTTTCTCTGTGGATATTTTTTTACTGTTAAGCTAGAGATATAGATTTTTAGCGCCTATATTTTTGTCACATAAAAGTTGGATTTAATTTCGACCTCTAGATTGTGTCTTATTGGTGGTCGGCGCCTAGCTTTCAATTTTTTTTAAATTTGGTAATCGTAATTTTTAATTAAAGTAAGTGAAATGTTTATGTAGGCCTCTTGCAGTTTGGTACAGTATTAGAAACGTACTTTTTTATTGCTTCTTGACATTCAATTTCATTAGAATTTTTTATGTGAGCATAATATGTCCAACACTCCAACAGTATAATGCAAGTGCGTGTTGCTTTCGATGAGCGATCTTGTTTGTGCGCACATGCATCGTTATTGAAAGGAAATCCTCCGATTTATTGCTTTCCGTCGCGTCGGGGCGTTCGGTATTCGGTTTGTTGCTCGTAGCGATTGATTCCGTCCGTTTTGTCTTGTCCGTTTGCGGCTTGCGTGCGTCAATTATTGCGATGCCGCCGATCGGTTACCGTAATTGCGACGCACCGCCGAGCGGACGGACACTTTTAGCTTCTCAGGTGTGCGTCCAACACGCATTACTCGAGTTGCAATCGCAGGCACACACGAGAGCAGAATAAATCGTGAGCGCCGATGTCGAGATGCTAATTTCTTCATCGGATGCGCGCGGCAAACAAATAAACAAACGGCGAACAAGTGCAAGCGGCGCCGTACAAAGACACTGGAATTGTAGCAACGACGAAACGGGAATCTGCATACTCTTCTTTGATGTATAATTTTCTTTGAAAGTGCACAAATTTACATTAATTTAACTTAAAAAACAAAAAAAAAATTGTTTCAAATTTTATAATAAGCATACAAATATACCAGTAAAATTTATTACTCAGAAAGGGATGTTTTGTTATTTAACTAAAGCCGAACTTCAATCACTAATTACGATTAATCATGCACGACTGGCGATTCGTTCAGAAAGCGAAACGAGCAAAACGTTTCCAGTCTAAAATCTGAATACGCCGATAAGACTGCGCACAAAGTAAATTCGTATTCGTTTGCGTATTGCTTGAATTAGCACTAGTACTCGTCAAATTGTAGGCAGTTGGAGAGTAAAAGTCAATTGGTCGTAATGATTATTCACGCTCGGCTGGTGCATAATTTCCATTCAATTCGATTCGGCACAACGTCCAGTTAGAAGCTGGAACGACTAGTTGATTCTGGGAAGAAAACGCGTACAAAAACATGAAATTTTAATCGTTTTAGTTGATTAATAATTTGATAATTTGATTTACGCTACAAAATATTTTTGGTTCAATTTTTCGCAGAATTAAATATATAGACATTTCAAATAATTAATAATTGGAGTGGACCGTGGACCTAATCCATTAATAACATTATTTTTCGGTATTTTTATCCTTTTATACGATGAAGAATGAACAAACAATTTTTTGCATGTTTTCGATTCTTAATTCTTCGACGAATGCTTTGTCCAAAAAGCAAAAAAGGTTGGAACACACATTTTCCGAAACAAACAAAAAAAGAAAACGTTTTCTGCTTGGCAATTTGTGCTGTTTTTGTTGCTCATGATTATGCATCCCAATTAGCAGCAGCAATGTTTTTTGTGTATATATTTAGCTAACATTTATATAAAATGTATTTACATTTTAGGTAGGTAAATACAACCTACATATGTATTAACATTTCGTTTTGCAAAACGCACTCAGGCTCGTGTTGTCCGCACAATGAGCGTTTTATCATAAATTAAAATCGTGTATTTTGCTTTCCCCCGCGTCTGCTCGCATTGTGATCGCGACGCGCATTTTCTGTTTCGCCATTTCGAAAATATTCCACATTCGCAGCATCGAGTCGTACTCGATGTGTGTCATCATCATCATCATCATGACGATTGGTTTCGCTTTGTTAATCAACTAGGACCAACTCGTTTTTTACGGTTCGTCTGAAAAGTAACAAAAAGTACACATTTGCAATTGTTTTCACTCGAATTGTATTCGCCCGTATTCAAAAAACGCAAATATTTTGCTAAGAATTACTTTTTACCTCCAGTAACTAATCAAAAATAGTAATTTGTTTTTATCACGAATAGATTATAAAATTTAATTGAATCACGTTTAAAAATCTTAATGTGAGGGCGTTAAAATCGTTTTTTAAACAAAAATGTATAAAGTATAAGTAATGTAATCTCGTTTCTTTTTTTGCCACACGAAACACGAACTGTTAGCTTGGTGTGCTTTGTGCTGTCGCTCGCTGCGTGACTCATGAATATTCAAAAACGTTTCGAAGAGAGTTCAAAGTTACAAAAAGTTAAATGCACAACACAACCCATACACACGAACATATTCATACGCCTGCAAGTTCAGAAAACCAGAACTGAAGAACTAAAGTACTAAGGTATTCCATCTTCCATCTATTTCTCAAGAGCATAGAACACAACGCCTCAGCGGAACAAAAACCGATTTTTTTTTTACTTTGAACTTGTTCCTCGTGTTCGGCAGCTGTGATACGCCCAAACACTCGTGTAATGAGTTGCTTTCAATCAATTAAGAAAAATTACATTACAAAATACTAAAAATCAATTATTTTCGTTAATTTTGAGCATTGGAAGCAATTTTTTAAATAATTTTATTAACCTTGATTTAATTTTTGAGCAATGCTTGTTTGAAACTTAATTCCCAGCTTTCAGCAACCAGCGTAATTTAAGTGTAATTACTAAGCGAGTTAATTGGCCCATTTTATCAACCGGTCGTTATCGCCACGAAGCCGAAAACGCTGACTTCTTTCCTTTTTTACGTTTACATCAAGAGTGAAACGTTCAACATGCAAGGTGTAACCAGCGCATCAACTCGCAATGTCATAACCAAACCAAACCACACATCGCGTCTGTGGTCGTGTGTGAGTTTATGGTCTTGACTTCTTGAGTAAACATCGAGGTGCTACCCGTGTACACTACTAGATTGTAGTTGCGATGCGCTATTAATTAGAATAATTGTCGGCTAATTACACAGCACGCCTGGCAGGAGCAGAAATGCAAAAAGATTCATATCTTACATGTTCTTACAATTTTTGTGAATATTTTTACAAAAACTCAATTTTATAATTATTTACTTACATGATTTTGATTTAGCCTGTGCAGCGTTATTAAACCCACAGAAACACACAACTAGCAGTAATAACTTTAACATTGTGAACAAGTTTATTAATTAAATAATTATTATTTAATAGTTTCGAATTTAATTAACTCTGATGAATGTAATTTAAGTAATTGTATCCAGCTATTTGTGTTTATCGCGGTTTGCGTTTTCGGTGAATTCGCTGATCTTTGGATTTCCAATTAGAGCCAATGTGCTCCGGCTGTGGCTGCTCTTCGCGGTCGTGGTGATCGACTCAATTTACACCGACCCACACATTGATGATGCTTTCCCAGCTGGTATAATCGATTCAATCAATTAGTCATTACTTGATCAATGTGTTCAACAATCACCCATTAACAAATCAACAATTTTATTTCATTTATTATATTCTGCACTTAATTTGTTTTAAAGCACAAAATATCTATATAATACGTAACTAATTAATTAAATGTGGCTTTCGCGATGTTTGTACCTATCAGTGCGCTCGCGCTTCGCCGTGGCACCGCGTTCAGCAGCAGACAGGTAACTAACTCTTTGGTTTGTTGACGATGGCCATGTGCGGTGGGTTTTTGCTCGGGCGGTCCCCGCTGGCGCTGAAGAAGAAGAAGAACAAGGAGGCGCGCCGTGAACGCAGGACGCACAAAGTCAAAGCCATACGAACGGCAAAGAACTTCTTTCTTCGGTGCGAACGACGCATAATGCTTAGAGTGTGGCGTATGAAGAATGAAATTGGCGTCGTTGAAGAGTAATCAACAGGTCGATGCAAGGGTCTATTATTTTCTTGCATGATAAGACATTTTTAAAAAAATCGAATCAAAATATATATTTGCAACACCTTGTATAAAGGTTCAAGGGGTCAAAATTCGGTTATCTTCACTGTAGGCCATTTTTGTCCGTATGATTTATCAACAAAATTATCATAAATTTTGTTTTATGATGCAAATTATATATTTTTGAAAATTTTTATGCTTGCACATTAACCATCTAGGTTAGTTAAGTGGGGTTTTAAGTCAATTGCCGGCAATTACATGGCGTTTAAAAGTAAATTTTCTTTCACTAGAAATTCCATCATGCATCATTATAGCTATAGCCTTCATCATTTAGTTGTAACAGTTCGTGCTGCATACCACACACGGTTTGCAGCTCATTGTTTCTTCTTCGCTGCTAATTGTTTAACGCAAATATGCTCATGGAACCGCACATGCTTATTTACCTGCACGATTTATGATTATGGCGTTGCTCCCATGACACCTCATCATAACGCAAACATAATGCACAACCAAGAAGCGACTTGAAGGAATAGTGAATTCTTTCCTAGTCCTCACGAGTTTCAAACTACAAACAATTCAATTCTAACATTGCAAAACTGTAGGCCGAAGACGACATCGACATGTACTGAAGTTAGTAAGTACCTGTATGAGGAGTACGAGTGAAGAATCTTGCAAGGAATCGCAGACAAGAAGAAAGAAGAAGAAAAAAAATGCACATCCAAACAGTTGCAGATGGGTCGATGATCTTACCAAATACAGACGAAGACCATATACCAGAGAGTATACGAGTATACCAGCATTCAACATAGACATGGACCACAGATCAAAACATATTCGCGAATAGACAACGACGACACATGGTTGGAATTATTTCGTTTTACAAGCAATTCGCCACAAATTAACATCCAAACACGGCTGTAAATTATGCATCAACTAATTATAAACGTTGTAAAAGTGCTTCAAAGTTAAATTAATGTTTTAATAGCCCTCGGGGCTTTTAAAAAATTAAATTTTTTACTTTTTCAATATTTTAACGAGCTGTTTCAGGCCGGGTGGAAAAGTTTTGCTAGTTTGCGAATAATGCGCAATAACAAGGCGTTTTATGCGATTTTGATAAAGTCATGCCTCGAAGGTGCAATCTTTATTGCATCCGTAGTCATAAATTAGATGAGGGTATGCGATGCGAAAATATTTACACAATTATTACCCACACGCGTGAGTAATAACTGTGAAATAACTGAACCCCCAAACGGAACTGTCAACACTTGACATTTTCAAATATCTAGATGAAAATCGAGGTTATGTAATGGATATATTAAACAGAAATTTACTGTTTCGTCTGCGTGAATGAAAAAAAGATCCGTTGTTCGTAATTAAATAACAAAGACATTTGCAGCGGCGCATTACGACACCAGCGAGCAAGTATTCGAAGATTAGAACATTAGGCATTGTTAAAATTCCTCTTCATTAGATTGAATTACATCATTGTTCATCTCGCCGGTTTTACTGTTCGGCTTCGTGCGTCGCTGCGTTTCTCGATTTCAGGCGCTCGCGCCGCGCCGCGCGCGAGTTGCGATGATAAATTGCAATCGTATGATAAATTAATTGCGCCGCGCGCGAGTACATGAACACCTACACGCACACAATGCGTACGAAGATGTATTCATGATGAAGTGTGTAGGGAACGGCGTGAACGGCACATGCATGCCGTGAAGTATGTGTGTTATCCCGGACGGAGTAACGGACGCGTTTTAAACAAAACCGAAACGAAGGAGGCGGGCGCCGAAGAACAGGAACAAAGATCACGAGATCACATCAGACGGTCGAGAGAACTGAACAGCGGTTGTCAAACTGTGGCTTAACTGAAATAATAATTTTTATGACTAAATTATTACATTTCGTCTCTGCCTAAGCAGAACGTTACTGTTTTTGTGATAAAACCGTTTTAGTACTGTTGTAATAGAGTTCGGTGCAATCATAACATGAAACGTGCTCGCGGGCACAAGTTTAAAGGTAACGTTAAGATAACACACGTCGTTACGTAATTGTTTAGAGTTAATTGTTACTGGGACGGAAGAAAAAATACAGTAGAAGAATGGCTGCTGCGAATACAAAGGCGTTTGAGTTTCGGAATATTATGGGCAATTGTTTAACAGAATTAACGTAATTTTACTAGGTTGTCTTTCGGATAATAACAGCACTGGAAAACCTAAACAATCTTCTCAGTATTATATAATAATTTTATTGTCGCCAATGGTAACTGTAATATTATTACTTAATACTAAAATATGAAGTTGTATTGTTATATATTTACGCTTTAATTTTCTTTTTTTGTGAAAAAAATAAGTTTGAAGGAATTTATGATATGCTATGATGAATTATGAATCGAAACTATTTATGGCGATTACTGTAAAACACCTGAAAACATATATCGATGATGCAAATGTGGAACTGCAATCGGAATGTAACTGTATCACAGCGTTTTATATCGATGCATATCGAAGCTGATCGATATACGTGTAATAAATAAATGGCTGGCAGCGTTGACTTTACGCGCTTTCGCAAACTGGCAACTCTTGGTGGTGGCTGGATCACGAATATAGCATAGCTAACGAGAGGTTCCAACTGTGACCATCGACCAGATGAGTTTTAGTTCAGTTTGACTGTATGTATGTACACGCTTGCGAACGAGAGTATATGTATACCGCATGTGTACCGACTCTGTAAGTTTCCCAACCGCAGGGAACGAAATATGAGAAGCACGCGGAGTGCATCCGATGCACAGACACAAGACGCTAAACGGCCGAACGCCGGAACGGAAGACATCGGACACTGGAGAGCTTGGAGAGCATGAAAAGCCGCTGACAACGGACACGTCGGCGTACAAATTGAGCTGTTTAATGTCCCATTTTAGAGAGCGGCTGTATTTACCTCGTGGCAATAGCTTTACAATTTACAATTCGAACTTAAAATGTTATACGTGTGGAGTGAAATTGATTTCGCGCATGTGCAGTGATGTGCAATGGAAAACAAAAGTACTTCTGCATACTTTGTTGCAAACGCATGGTTTTATTCGATTTTGTTGTTTTGTTGGCGCAACAAGCGGCGATTAGACATTTCGAAGGCGGATTTCAAAGCAAGTTGCTTCGCATGTCAGCGCTTTGGCGACGCAGCGGCGGCGAGCTGGTCGAAAACAATCGACCGCACGTCTAGCGCAGCGTTCCGGCAATTCGCCGTGATTTTACGACCGAATATTATACGTTTGCGCCTCAATTGTAGCCCGATGCAATTGAAAAAAGCCAAATCATCCGTGGTGCATGAGCTAAAAAATGACAACAAAACAGAAAAAGTATTAACACTTAGATATCAATTGATACTTTTGTAGATAACTCTTAAATAACAGCATAGAAATTTTGTCCTTTTAGCTAACTGTGTGCATCTCGTGGTTATTTGAGGAATATGTTGAATACAGTTAGGCATTAGTGCCGTTTGCCGGTTGCTGTGCGGTGTTTGCTGCCTGCCTAAACCAGCTTTTATGTATATTCGCGGATTTTGCACTTTGGCTGCGGCCGCGGACGATCTGTCAGGTTGACTCATATGATATGCATAAAAGGACTCTCCAACATATACCAAGTATGCTTTATCTGCCTGTGTTACAATATTTTGTACATGTACATGAATTATGGGTAGTAAAATAATAGCTAAATTACTAGGTTTTCCTAAAAAATATTGAAATAACTGTGAAAACCACATAAAGTCTAGAAACTATGAAAACATGTACCTGCCGAGTTATTGACTCGGACGTCATCAAAGCGAGAGGAAACTCTCAACTTTACTTCGCCGCGGCTAAAAATTTCAATAATGGAAAGTTTCCTGTCGCGCGCTTGCATTCAGGTAATAATAATAATGAACTCATGATAATGTGCAAGCGCACGAGCATGCAGTTCACAGAGACGAGACCGACAAGAGACTCTCAACACGATAAAGCGATGGAAAATACTTTAAGCTCACTAGGAAACCTTTACGAAAATTGAAAGCGCTGTCAAATCAAAATGCATTTCCTGTTTTCGCGCAACGTATCTATGCATTACAAAACAATAACATAAAACGTTTTCTAATGAAGGATGCATCTTATTATTCATAAATATTTTAAATTCTCTAAAAAATTGAATAGTTAAGTCAACAGAAATGAAAACAAAGTCGTAAACAACATTTAATAAATGTTTTTGCAAATTTTGATTGCTGGATGTGTTCTCATAGCAAACATTTAAGAATTTATAGCGGTTTTATGTATCTAACATTTTACTCACCTTTCCGAAACGACGTAATCTCATTTTACGGTTTTGCATCAGATTTGATAACGTCTCCACATTTATTGCATATTTTATACTGAAATTAATTGAATTGTTAATGGAATTATTTATGTTCTTAGTTTTATTAATAAAAATGTAATATTTGGCACACAAATATTCATATTCTTCGAATGTATCGCATTCACAAACACAAAACAGCATTTACAACTGGCAATAATCAAACATCTGTTGCTTCGTGACTGCTTAACTTGTTAGTAGTTCTATGTTTAAAGATCAAGCATCAAATGCTATAATCATCTTAATCATTTTAATCATTATAATCTTTCTATTGTTATCATAACTTACACAACGTGTAATAATTTGCGCGCGTTTGTGTGATGTATGTCTTATAATAATAATGAGTGTTTTTTTGGGTGTGTAGGTGTGTTTGAGAATATTCTACAATAATTTACACTATTAACTAATGCATTAATGTAGGTGTAATCTTAATTAACATAATTAGTTGAGTTCGAGTTATCGACTTCTTGTTTCTATAATTAGGCATAACTTTTCCCCTTTTTGTGTTGCTTGGTTTATGCTAAACACTTTTTTGCGTACCTAAGACTTATCTAGATGATGATGAAATTAATGAAACTTGAAACATGCTAATGAATTTTTTTTATTGTATTCTACTGATCTTGTTTTGGTATCTTCTAATTAAAGCTTAAATTATGTGAATTTTGGCCATTTTTGTTGGTCCCCTTATCGACTAAGAAAGCCAAAAACTACATTTATGCAACGTTGTTCTTTTATTTACAATTCTTAAAAGGATAAATTTAAAATCGCGATGTTTTTTCTTAGTATATTGCAAATAATTGTCTTGCTTATACCCAGAACACCGTGATAAAGAAAAACTATGTTTTAGTTTAACTACTTGTAGTGTTGGTGATGGCGTGACTAAAATTTACTGTTTTATTATCCTATTTAATTAATATCAATACAATAACAACAACAACGATTCGTGGACGTTTTCGTGTTTTTCTCTCTCATTTACTAGCAAAAGTTTTGCTTATTTAAAGGATATTACTAAACGCATGGACATTGCGAACTTATCTCCCTATTTGTTACGGTAGTCGATTAGCTACATGGTTAAATTTTTACTATAATAATAATTTCTTATATTACAGCTTAATTTACAAAAATATTGATTTTTTAATTATTTTTATTATGCTAGTGTTAGTGCATCAATTTACGTGATTTGAATGTTAGAGTTTAAACTAGCATATATTATTGTGTAATGGACACTAAACTAATTGGTGAGGATTTCATTCGAAGTTAATTAACTATTATTCGTTTGTGATTACAACTAAGCTCGTATGCTTATAGAACTTAAGTGTTTTGTTGGGACAAGGTTTGCTTCACACTTTTTTATTTGCTATGTCCAGCAATTCTCTGTTTCAAATATACAATTTATAGCTAAACTCTAAATCCAAACGCAAGTAAACGTACCACAGCAGCGAACATGGAGAGCAAAAGAGTAGCAATAAGTAATCTTACAAGCAATCTCGTTTTTGCCTAAGCTTCGAACAGAAAATTAAGTAACTAGTTAACTAACTAGAAATCTGCGCAGCTTTAGCAATCGCTGCTGATTTATTACCCTCCGGGTTGAAGATCCACACGGTGTTGTTAATATTCGCCTGATAAACTAAGTGTTAACCGAAATTTAATTAGAAAATTAATAAATATCAAGAAATCACAAATTTCAACATTTATTATTTACAAATCTAACATCATTTTAAGCTGTTGATTCGCTTAATTCTCTTAATAAGCGGAATTCAGTTGGAAATCTTGATATTCGGTGTGCGTATTGTGTTAGCGTCTCAAATGATGCCTTAAAGTGTCTGTTTTATATTAATTACCGCGCCAGGCGGACGTTTAATTAATCCGCTGACAAGGTGTATCAATGGAATCGTCGCTCTAGGCTTGTTACGTCCGTCAAATTGTTCATTAGCATGACTTGAAGATAAATTTTGATCGTTGGAAATTCTATTACATTAAAAACAAAATCCGAAAAATTTGGAAAATGTTTTTACATTTATTTTTTGTTTATTTTTGGTCTTTGATGTTTTTGCTAGCTGTAAACGCTATGAATTTAATCTTGTATTCTCACAATTACGTTAATGACGGCGTCGTCGCGACGCGTGCAATTACTTCTTTCATTAATCTCCACGATTCATTCACGCTTGTTGCGTTTTTAATTGTCCATTATTGTTTTAATTGGTGCGCATTTCACGTACGCGTTTGTTTAAATTTCGTTTTATATTCATTAAGAGTATAAGACCCTGTAATTTCCAAAATGAAACATAGCCTTTTCTTACAAACATAAAAACTAATTGATATGTTATTACCTAGAACAAATTAAAATGTTTTGGACATTTGGTCATTGCACTTTTGCTGCAGGAAAAGTTGACTACCATTTCATCAACACCCATTACTTACATTACTCAGCATATGGTTAATTAGTTACAACGTATACAACGCAGTAACATGCACGACACTTGCAATTTTTATTTTGTTCATCCTCATCTTCTGCTGCTCCGCGTGTCAAATGTACCTACACTAAAATTTAATTGCGTTTCACTCGCTGTCCTGAATGTCACACTCGGTTTATTATATCATGGTCGATGTCACATTGTTCACATTCGTTACGTTGTTGGAATTGTTGACGGCTGCAGTCGTTGACGTCCCGGTCGCAGATGTTCCTGTTCCTGTTCCTGTATCGGCTGTGGTCGATGGTTGCGCTTGCTGCAGCTCGCTGTAAACATTGCTCGGTCCTTCGACACTGCAAACGGAGTCTTCTGGCGTTCGTGATGGCTCCGCTTCCGTTATCTCCAACTCGACGGCTTGTTGTGATGCGGGCGGTGGTTGCTTTTGAGTTCTGTGCTTGCCGTAAAGATTCTGTCAAGAATTCAAAATTTATATCTTAGTTTAAGTCATCATTATCTTTAAATTTAATTAAAAGTGCCTTTTTAGGGTTGGTATTTATTTAAATTTATATCTCATCAGGAAATATCGCGTAAATAGCTTCCGTGACACGAGTTTATAATTCTATGAGTAAATATTTGAAAGTTAATTTATCGTGAATTGAAGATTAGTTGAAGATCGCAATTAAAATCCGCTTGACACGATTTGCGTTTTAATCCGTTGCTATAATGAGAGCATTTCGCGCACGACTTGTGGCACTTTGCTTCGTTTTTGTGCGGCGTGTTGCAAAGTGACTTTCGAACGCAAGGCGGATGCATCGCGGTGCGTATTCCTCAATAAAATCGCAATTACGCATCATTACCGGATTTCGCGGACCGTTATCGCAACATTCCTTGTCGTAGACACACTCCGGCACTTGGGAGGTGCAACAAACGTGTGCAATGTGCATTCATTAATTGGACATAAACCAAGTGATAAAAATGCGAAAACATCAAATTTTTAGTGATTTAGCATTGTGCTCATGCGAATATTTGCATACTTTCATAAAAGTTGTGCACGTGGCGCATAATCACCGTGAAAATAATAAATTGTTCATTGTGCCGTTGTCGTCGAAATATTTGTTTATTATTTTTCAATAATAAATTATAATTCTATGCGAATATAATTTTATATTTCCATATTTACAAATATCGCATTGTATTAGTTATTTATTGTTTGTATTTTATTTGTTTTAATTTTATAATTTTTATATTTTCACACAAATAATAAAATAAGTACCGAAACAGGATATTTGTAAACATGGAAATTAATATAATATATGATTATGAAATTCAATATAACCGGAATATATTTTTGTTATAATTTTACTGAACATACTGTAAATTGTTTTGTTTTTTGTGACTGAATTAACGTTTGCCATCAGGTTTAACTGTCGTGACATCTGCGTGAGTTCAGAAAACGTATCGTGCTGTTATTATTCTTCATTCTTTCCTCCGTTTGCTAGTCTTTTTCCTCATGCATCTTGGCACGTCTGCCAGTCCAGCACAAACGCATCATCATTATAATCATCACATGAGGCACCAGTGGCACACAGATCTAAATAAACATTTCACATTTCTTCCATTGTTCTTTAAATCATTCTGCAACTCGTTCTTCAGCTCGGCGCTTTTATCGCATTGCAGGCGCATTTTCACACGTTGCATGTCACATGTCACGATGTCACAATCGTCACACGACTTGCATCGACACAATCCGCCATTTTATCTCTTGGGATGCAGCGATTTTTAAACGTTTAGATATTCTTAATGATGTTTCGCGGTCTTTTACATGCGAAACATGAATAAAACCGATATTTAAGTGTGACAACCCAGCATTAAATTCAAATGATTACTTTTTGAATATAATAACTATAAAAGCGTACAATAAGTTTAAACGGTTTAAATGCAGATATTTAGTTCACTAGGTCCCTGAGAACAGACGGTATGAAAACCACCGTAAATCAGCGTCTAAACAAAGTGGCGAACCGTTGAAAAACCATCGCCGACATAACGTTGACAAGACAATTCAGACAGAGTTGTATAGTTGCGGATGTTTTAATTAGATTTTCTGCATAATGCACACAAAGCTGTTCAGCATTTGAATCTACAAGCTGTATTGTTCAAGTTGCACGATGCAATTTTCATATTTTACGAGAAATCCCACATTCGTTGTGATAATAACTTTTATGCACGTAAAACAATAAACTTTAAATTGATATAATATTCATGTGAATTTCTTTTTTTTTGTTTCAGAGTTAGTCGAATTGGAAATATGGACGAAAAATGATTAATTAAATTAGTAAAATTTGATTTTGCTCCGTTGGACAGCAGCTCCGGGCGCGAACAATCACGGTATTTATTTTTAATTAAACTATTAATTATATTTCGCGTCAGAATTCTCACATTGTTTTCAATTATTATTTGCATTCGATTGGGACATGCGTTGCATTTAATATATTCGCGTTATTAATTATATTCAGCGTAATGGAATAACCTAAATTTTGTAATTGGAACGGTATTTTCACTGAAACAAACCTCAAAACTACGAAGCGTGATCAGTGGCGTTTATTTGTGGTTCAGAAAGTTATAATATGCATTTTGATGTTGTTTCAGTATTCTAGTTTGAATTGGGAATGAGAAAGAACGATTTTAATAATTCAAGCTGTCTTACATGCGCATCCAGACTGAAATGATTGTTTTAGCGCAACGTCGAAACGTAGATTTTAGAATTTGCACCAAAAGCTGAGAAACTTGAAATGCTATCTACTAAATATTAAATTCCGGCAATCTGTTGCACCACGCAGCAATATGTTGCAATGTTGCAGGGTATAGTTCAAGTGGAAGCAATGCATTCGCATAAATATAAACTCAAGTTTTCGCTTCTCTGGCATCTTCTTCGCGACGTGAGATTCTCCACTCGCTAAAACTTTGCACTTGTCGCATTTTGTGTTGTGCTTCTTGGCTTTTGCATGCCCTCTCATTTGAATCGCAATGATTATTGCACGACACGTCGCAGATTTATGCAAAGTTGTTATTTGTTTGAATAGCGACGGCGACGCGCGACGGAAAAGCCGTATTGTCAACGACGCGCCCGCAAATATTTGAGATCGGCGCGGAAAACGTGTGGGCGAGATACACGTGTATTATTTCGACATTAATATTCAGTTATGTGCGGTTATGTTAGCACGCTCACCAGGTGATATCTTCATTGTATGCAAGCAGAACACATAACACACAGGTTATGTTCTGGTGAATATTGTTGTAATGCAATTGCACATCTACAAATTCGCGAACAAAATAATATCTATTATTCATGAAAATAATTTTGGTTTCTGCGGAACATGCGTAATGTACATTTGAATCAACCTTTAATTATTTACACTGATTAATATTTATATACACATTATAATTATACACAAGGTGGTGGGTTGAATATTTAAACATAAATAATGTGAATGAATGCATTTTACTTGACCGTACTTACCCGCTCGCGACTTCCCTTTTTCTGAATGTGAATCGAATGAAAGCAGAAAATTCGCAAAGGGTTATTTACATCATCATCAAGGAGCTTAATTTAAACAGGACGCCAATTGAGATGTGCATGCGTCAATTTTCAAGTAAATGCAAAGTAGAGTATGAAATACCATGTAGAATGATGACTGAAGATGTTGATGACGGACAAGCATCCAAGTTAGGGAGAAGAGAGTGTGAGACGTTGAAACAAAAGATCACAACCGAGTTCAGAGCGTGATAGGGGCAAACACCGAACACAAACATATGAATAAATGAAGTGGTGTGGAGACATTGAAATTATGAGGCGATGAGAACACACTGTGAGAACAAAACAACAACCAAACACATTGAATATTTAGATGTATCAAGTATTCAGCATCTGGTTGAGTTAGTTATACGCGAAGAAACAATATGAATAAGTTGGTTGGTTGGTTTTGGTTGTTATTGTTAGATTAGCAATGCGGATGCTTTGTTACTGTGTGTTGCGTACCTGTAGGCTGAATCGTCGATGTTGAGCTTTTCTGCCACCGCGGCGCTTGGAAATGTGTGGATTATCGCGACAAATAGTTTTGCTCTTGAATATCTCCAGTTGAAGATAGAGACGTTTCAGTTCGGCGCGGATGTCGTCGGGACTCATATCGGCAAGAGTTACTTCACCAACGTCGACGTCACTATTGTTGCCTGTTAGTGGTCCATGTGCATTCACATCCTGAACACAAAATAAACATTTTTACACATAAAAAAATATAATTTTAAGTTTTAAGGTTGAATTTATGTAGAATTTATTCCGAAACTTGTTAATTATTTCGGTTGGCTAGTCTCATGTGTCATGTCAAAAAGCAAATTGCATATTTTAAAGTTAAATTGCACAGTTGCGATGCGGTGGCTTTGCAAAACTTCTTCGCATGTGCTAGTGACACATATAAACTCATTGAACTGGGTGGAAAGGGTGGTAGTTTGAAAGGGGTAATACCGATGATGGTAATTGCGATTGGGTCAGCGCGCGGCGATTGACGCCGGCAGATCTGCGCCCTGACGTGGCAAATTGCGCCCGACCACAACAAACAACGTCCTGTTAATTTACTACCCCCAGCGCATCAAACTATTCGTATCTATAGATCGACTATGTTCAATGCTGGTCGAGCAAGTATCAATGATAGTGCTATATGTAGGTGTTGATGAATTGCACAAAGTTACTTTCGTGGAAATTTTACTGCATTAAATGAGGTTTAGCGCACAAAATAGAGAATTTTGTTCAGGTGTGTTGACGTGTTGGTACGAGAATGAGCTAATGATTGTAGAATTCAGGTCGGGCGCGAATAAATTCGATGAGGAGTTCAATTAGTCATTGAATGGTGGAGTCGTTTATCATCGTTTGCAGAAAAATTAACTTGCCACAATGTGTTGGATAGTATGGATTAAACTCATTTATCATCGGCGTTTTTAAAGGGTAATACGAGTTGGGAATAAAACTTTTAACTATTATACCTAACCAAACCCAATCATTGAAACATTTTAGTCTTAAAATTTATGAAATAAAGTTTTTAACAAAAATAAAATTCAGAAACACAATGAATAAGTTTGAAATATTTTTTTCTTTATAAATGGAAAAGAATTTACTTATATTTGGGTGTTTTTTAGAGTAAAACATCATAAAAACAAATGTTCCCCAAAGGTACAACAATTTCCAAACCATTATCCTTCGCGTTGCTTTTTCTACACATTTCACCACACATAAATCCACTCCAAGGTAGAAGATGCGAGGATAATTGAAAACTCACGTGATTACAATGATTTACTTCCACGAATCGCGTCCGTATCCCCAAACATCTAAATTTATCTTGTTTCTAGCCCGTTTTCTTATTCTAACCCATTAAAATCTTCCTATTTTTTTCCTTTGTCATTTTTTGCTTTTTTTGTGGACGGTTATAACAATTTGCAGGTAATCAAGTTTATCTTAAATTGATTTTAATTACTTCTACCTTTTTTTTTATTTTGCTATTAAGAGATAATATATATTTACCTTAAATGCATCCACCGGCAACCGACATGAATACTCCTGAGCAAGCGAACGCACTTGCTTCTGTTGATACCAGAATTTGGGCACGAACACAAGCGCCATTGTAATTGTAGCAGTCAGTTGAGTGCGCACGCAGTTGATGATGAGTACCCCGTCCGGATGTAGACCCGGCAGGACGAACACACGTCCCACGTAGAATAATCCGCTGACGGCGAGCTCTATGCAGATGGCCGCGCACAAAAACTTGCGCTCCTGTAATCGCAAAATGCCAAACGGTCCGTGAATACAGATAATCCACAATGGCACATATCAAAATATTTTATTCTATACAATTATCCAACTAAAATTTAATCCTGCATTAATTAATCATCGCCTGAAATTAATTTTATTTGAAGTTTTAAACTCGTTTTTAATCTATCGAATCTACCGAACTAATTTTGCGTGTAAATCTCCTGTGTTTGCTTTCCGGCAACTTTTACGAGTGGGAAATGTGAAAATTATTAGACAAACAAAACTTTTTGTTGCATGACTGTTGGCGCGCGGAAAAACACAAATATTTGGTTGTTTGAGAGCTTGCGGTGGAACTCCCTCGCACACATGTTTGTAAAGATTTTTAATTAAAAAATGTCAACAGTTTTTATTCGCTGTTTTCGAACAACTAACAAAGCTGTTGGTGGCATATTGTTTTAATATCAATTGCACTAAATGTGGTGGAAAGCAGAGTTGAGAGATTATTTTAGGTCTCTAGGTATTTAGTTATTGCATTTCTGTGGTACACTGTGTGCGCTAGTTGGAAGCCGAGCTAATTGAACATTCATAACAATCGCATAAAGTTGAGGTCATAACGGAATGTCAATAAATTACAAATTGTTCAAAAAGATATAATAGCTTTTCAAAAACATTAATATTTCAAATTGTGGTTATTAAAATTACATTTAATACGTTGCCTTCTATGGGGCTTTAATAATAATTTGGTTGGTAGATGATGATAGGAATTTTGAGGTAGTAAATTGATTAATTTATATAAAATTTGTTTGGTTCTAAATGAAAATATAAAATATACTTTATATTTAAATTTCTTTTGAAAATGTATATGACTATACTGTTAATTAAGATAAAAATTAAAATTACTTGACTGGACAAAATATTAGTGATGATTTAGCATAAAATCAGTGTGAATTGCAGAATCGAGTCACGAACACTCCCAAATACCGAAATCAATGATAGGTGTGCGCCGTTTGGGGACTTTGCATCCCCCGAGAACGATGGGGGCTGCAGTTTTGCGTCACGTTTGCCCAGCGAAGCATCAGGGCATCTGTAATGTCGCGCGGCACTAAATGAAAATTCGCATATTCAATTAACTCGCAAAACCGATACATTCGCTTCAAAGCACGCGGGCGCGTTTAATCGAATTCGAAAATAAACTAATACTGCTTTTAATTACATACATAATTGGACACGATTTTAATACCTATGATTATGTACTCATTATAATTAAAACTTTTACTTACAGCTAACATTCATTTAATTTTTACTGTGTTTATTTTAGTTCCATATCGTTCGTTAATAAAAAAAAATGTAATTTTCATCACAAATATTTAACTTCTTGGCATGCATATTAATTTCGCTTCGGAAGAAATATCCGGTCTTATGGGAATTAATAATGATTCATTCGTTCGTTAGTAGTGTTCAGTTTTCTGCGCACGTACTTTATATCAACACGCTCATATCTCATATCGTTTCCGAACTGCTTTTCAAACGCCTACGAAACCGACTCATCTCTCTTGACATTGTAAAGTACGGACTGCGGCCTGTACACGGACTCACGAGGCGGAAAGACGGCACACGGCATGCGTTGGCATGAAAGCCACGTCGTTTCGGAAGAGTCATTCACTCACGCGGCGCCATCGCCACGAGAGTGAAGTCACTTATACATTTTGGTGTGCTGTCCGTGTGTGTCTTCAATGTCTCTCGGTTTCGGGTGATGAATGGCTCTTGCATCGTAATGATTTCGAGCGAGGTCGGAGGCGCCATCATCATCAGACATCCGACCCAAAACAATAAGTTATCATGCACATTCTGACTTGTGTATTTATATACAATCAATATAAATATAAACATAAATATTATTTTTAATTTTTTTGAATTTTGAATTAATTAGAATATTAAATAGTTCTTGAACCACTCAGTATGTCTTAATGTCATAATTCAGTGGTTTAGTAGAACGTGGCGCACGCTTTCATGCTCTCGACTGAGGTGAGGTGTTTGGATGACTGGATGCGCATAAATCGCATGCTATTATGGACAAGGACGAAACGGGGATGCAAAGTGCGTTGCGTAACACACGCACCGCGAGATCCTGACATTTTAATTAACCCGGAAAGGTAATTAATTTCTCGGATGCAAGCACCCCATACACGCCCCGGCTTTCCTTTGACCCTAAATTGGTAAAACGCAAAAAATACACTAAATCTAAATTAAACTTAACCGTATATTTTATTACCTACATTTTAAATATTTAAAAACGCAATTTACTTACGTGAAATTGTGTCCGCGCATTACGACTCACATAACCCATGTGAATTCCAAAGATCAAAATGGTCATCTCGGCGATTTCGGTGACATAATCCCACCACAATGGTTTGCACGCCTCGTAGTAAGCGCCCATACTTGTGCGACGACTATACAACAAGCTATAATTCTCTTGCATAAAGTTCAAACTGATGGCGGTGTAAGCAGCCATGTAAGCAAAAAGGGATGCGACCATGATCAGCAAATATTTCAACAGATCAGTGTCTTTAACCACCCAACGGTGAGCTTTCCTCGTCCGAAACTCAATCATATGACGATATAGTTTTAAAACAATGGCGCCGTAGCAGAATACAAAACCCATTTCGCGTGCCCAAGGCTCCAGTAAGCACTGAAGCGGTGAAACTTCGAAAAATTGAAGGACAACCTGAAACAAAAGCGTTTCGTTTAGAATTTTATAATTATAATTATCGCTAAAGTTTCCACCGCACCGTTGGTGACAAGCGAAGCGAAGGAAGTGAAGCAAAGTGAGGTGCGGCGACGGCAAAAGTTTCAACATAATCTTGATTAATGTCTTCGAGTTGTCTTTCCTCGACACATGGAGCGCGTCATTAAATTTAATGAGACCGAACACACGCACACACCGATGCGGCTTATTTAAACGTGGTGGAGGCGCCGGGTTTCACCAGACGTGAAATAATTTTCAACGGTAAATTATTCGTCACTTTCTTGGAGTTTGAAAAGCATAATGGTGATTTTTAACTGACTTGCTAAATAAATGTTGCACTTGTTGATAATTTTATTTATTCACGCCTCGGTTTTAATTAACAGCTTGCAGCGAAATGTTTCTTTTTCGATTTCATTAAAACATTTCTGAATATATACTTGTTAAAACTAAACTTTTGTCTTTTATACGCAATGTGTAACGTAGAAGCACTCTCAATTCAAGTTAGCAGTTCAGGTCTGAATCTCAGGTTTTCGTTTTAGCGTCCCTAGCGATGGAAATATTATAGGATATGGCAAGGGATTTTCCGCGAGAATTGGAAAACTTCCAAGTTAGCGCTTGCAAACAGGTCGAAAGCTTTGATATCCGAAACGGGAAGAAAAGAAAAGTGGGAGCTTAGATATGCTTAGAACACAAGTATCTGAAGTATTTTGTCGATCTACTTATATTACAAAAAATATAGCCGAAAACAAAAAAAATGAAGAATTTAATAATTCATTTATTTGTTTGCACATTATTATGACTCCTAAAATGACGATAAAATGTGTTGACCCAAAGACAAAGCATGAAAATGAACAAATTTTTTGGGCTCTAGAGAAAGGAATGCGTGCGTAATGGCGATTTTACGACGACGCCGCCCAAGAGTGGCCAATATTTTTACGGGCCGATAACGTTTTCATGAAAGCCACTTATTATGACAGCGCTTTATCTCTCACAAAATTAAGCCTCGACACGGCTTAATACATAAAAAAAACTAAATTGGCAATTTGTCGTTTATATCGCGTCAATATAAAAGACAAAACACAATGAGTGAGCTAATATCAGTGGTTTTTATTTGTGAAATCGAAAACACATTGTATGTAGGAACCGTAGCGCTAACTTGGTACTTAGTACTTTCAAGCTTTCGAGGCACTTTATTGCCGGCGAATCCTTCATCCAGGATTATAATTTTTATAAAGTATGAAGTATGAGCGCACGAGTAGCGCCGGAAAAAAGTAATATGGAAATAGAATCCAATAAGTGCATTAGAATCTCGACGCGCGTCGTTGTGGATGTGCCTGGATGTTGGAGAATGTCCTAAATCAATTTCCATTTTGCTCGCTTATCCGACCTGTCACACGGTCTACCGCATAATATATAGGTATATCATTATTCGATAAAATTGGTTAAGTTTATAAAAGCATAAAAACACACATTAAATATTAATACTAAAAATATGCACATTATGATATTTTATTGATTACGTACCGATAAATAAAGCAGAAATATGCCTAGTAGTATTGTTTCCAGGATGGTCCACATTCCTGAAGCTATCGTCTGAAAATTTAAACAAAATAGTCATTTTAATAAAGTAGATTTATTCATAGTTTTTTTTTATACGTTGACGTCGTATTTGATTGTAGTTATTTTTACCTTGCATTTTCTTTGTTTGAAAACGACGAGGCCCAGGACGAGCGTGACGCCGATGCACGCAGCCTGGATGCCCAGGACGACCATCTTCAAGTAAATGTCTCGACGTGCCGCGCATACTCCTCTCTTGTCGCAAGCGTCACAATGTTCCGGGCATGTTAGACAACTGTAACAAATAATTTTCATTGTTACATTTCTTGTATTTTTTTAATGAAATCCAACGTCAGTATATTATGTTTCTTCGAGTGTAAAGTTTGATTTGCGTTGCAAATTCCGTGAAATAATTACAACAGAATTACTTTTTGATTATTTGTTGCTGTTTTAGCAACTCAGTACTAGTTTATCATGTAATTTAGTGATGGCAAAGTTATTGATCTCTAGCAATTCCATTATAAATTTTTTTAATTCACTTTAATGTTTGCTTCATTTACTACATCAACGAAAGTGTATGTGCACTCTAAATTACATCATACAGTTTATCATGATGAAGACTGATTGATGACTGATGACCTAATACATGAGTAATATTCAGTAATTTAAGTTGTAAAGTCCCTTTTAGGCCGCTATTGCATGTTGTAATAGCGCAATATTAAATTATTAAACCATAAAAAAACATAGAAACGCTAGTTTGACATCTATTTTGTAACTAGCCAGAAAAAAAATAATTTCCAATTGAATACAATCAATAACAAAAGTTCGGTCTTCCCTTTAAGAATAATTTTGTGGTTATTATTATTGCTTTGTTGCTTAGTGTTGAATGAATTCTGCTTCCTGTTTTTCTAACCGCATGCACGTGACTTGTTTATTCCTGGCTGAATTCTAAAAATTGTCGAAATTGTGCTCATAGCCCGTTTCCACGTTCCAAGCCGCGACTTTTGTTAAACCGCATCTGGTTTAGGCTCAGCCTTCGTCTGTTTTGACCCTATATATCTTTCTCTTATTCGTCGCGTTTGTAGAAAACTGGAGCGAGTCACTATAACGTCCGTGAGGTTTTTCCGACGAGCGTTGCTCGGAACCGGCGCGGGATGTATAAAAGCCATATAAAAGCAAATTAAGGCGCAAACTTTATGCCGCTCATCGTGCTCGGGGTGCAACCCCGCACATTATGCGCTCGTTTACTTCCGCGCTGTCGTGGTCCGAGCTCTCGCGCCTCGGAAATAAAGATCAAGACTACCACGACGTGCTTAATCGCAACCGCAAATCCGCATTCGGTTAAAACGGCGACATCTTTTTCGTAAATAATCCTCTTTTATTTTTCGGACTTCTTCTTGCATTTGGGGCTTATTAAAGTTTAATAAAAGATTTTTGGAGAGAAAAACGGAAATCATTTGTTTTTCAGTTTCTTTCCTGTAATATTTTACTCAATTTAGTACGAAATGTAGTCGGGCATGTGTAAAGTGTGCACAAGATAAGAAATGTTATATTAGTGCGTGCAAACGTGCGTTACGAGACATCAACGACCGGGAGGCGGCAATGACGGGTCTCCATCGTCCTCGTCCTCGGAGCGAGAAAGGCCGAGCCATGTTTAAGGTCGGATTATTGGTAGATAATACAAGCCATTTGTCACACAGAAAGCCTACGACATTTTATACAGCGCAATTCGAAATCCTATAAAACATTAAAATTAGGCAAAGTTGAATTGTTAAAAAAATTTGAAATCTCAAGAGGATAATTATCCTGTATTATTTTGTAAAATTACTTTCGCTTGTTATTTTTTACGCTATTTTCTTTTCCCCGTGTTTTTGCTAAAGTCTGAAACGGTCGAGACGAAGTGCTACTAAGAGAGCATGAGAACGAGCGCGACATGATGAAAGCGCGCACAAAATGAACTGACGTGTAAGGAGGATAAATTACTTGTTGCTGGAAATGGGCACGACCCGAGGCTAACACTCTCCGGCAATGAGGTTCAAACATCACCGCGTAAAAGTGGTGCAAAATTTTAGTCATTAACATTTAAAAATAAAAAATAAAATACGATTAAAAATTAAAATATATTCATTATATTATCATTGCGTAACAAAATCATAAATGCATAAAATAATTAACAGATTATAGTTTTCTTTGGTTTTATTCCTTGACTGGGGGCGATGCAAAAATAATTACGCTATCATTGTTATTATCGGTGACATCAGTGGGAGTAATTACGGGCGTATCGCTCGAATCAGTCACATCATCCGGCCCACAATCGGATTTCAGTATGCACTGTTTTCGGGCATTGCGGACGTAACCCGTTTCACAGTAGCATCCCACTCGGCAATTGCGGGTGCACGGCTGTATTTTACTACTGCAGGTTTCATCGCAACCACCGCATTCAGTAAAAAATTCATTTACTCCACAATTTTCAATTTCTAATTCCGGAATAGTATATTCATCATCCGCTAAAAATAAATAACAATTTAACACAAATTAAATATAATTATAGGTTAGCCGTTAATTGAGTGTTAATTAAAAGTAAAACATTACTTAACGGCTTACCTATGTGATTAGTTATTACTTAATACAAAAGATAGAATGGCGATGGATGTGATCCAAACAAAAAGAATTCAAGTAACTCTGAAACATGCACGTGTATTTGATGGGAGATTAAATAAAAGTAAATAAATAAAAACTTACGAATTGCAAATGCAAAGTAGATCAAACAAGTGCATAGCCACACCATGAAAATTATTCGCGTTTGCTTCATTTTGAGCTACGCGTTGTATGAACAACGTTTGAAATGGCAATTTGTCGTCGCGCCAGTTAACGCTTGCAGTGGTTTATATTTATTGCGATGTTATTTGCGGTTTTACCCGTTTATCACAGTTTTCCAAGTTGGAGTTGTTTATTCAAGTATTGACTGTTGGAACTAATCGAACTAAACATTTATAGCCACACCACGCATTCACGTGCATTGTTCCAGTTTAATACCTTGAAATTATATATAACTGGGCGATTTATTCTTTTTCTGTTCCAACAATTACCGCATGATTAGTTCGACTTGGAATAATTAGCGCGCCGTTGTTGATAACGTTAGTAGACGATGACACCGTCAGTAACCTGATAAACGCAACTGGGTCTTATCAGAGGTTTACACAGTCGACTGACTAAACGCTTGGTGCCATTAAAAGGTGAGTTGAGTTATATACAATCAGAGAAAGAAAAAAAATTGTCGACGACAAAGGAAAAACGTGATAAGTCGATAAAAATATATAACGGTTTCGTAATTAAACTGGAAATAAAGTGGGTGCAAAAAAACAATTAATTGTTGTGATATAACAATCATGGTGACATAATATTATGTAAGTAATTTTATAGTGCTTTTTTTAATTGCTCGTTTATCGTTAAGAGTAATGTGAAGCATAGCGTAAATCAAGTTAAAAATAAACTTTTCTATTTGGTCTTCTCGTTTTGAGGCGGCTGATTTGCAGCGTTTGAACAATTTTCAATGAAATCGCAAACGCCGTCGGCATTTCGTACGAATCCCTCATCGCAGTAGCAGCCCATCTGGCAGTCGAAGTGGCACGTCGGGCGAAGGTTGTCGCAGGATTTCTCGCATCCGCCGCATCGGTATATCTCGCCGATCTCGCATTTGCCTGTAAAATTTACGAATGCACGAATGCCCCAAGCTCCAAAAACGACCGTATTTTCTTTCTTGCGCTCAGCAAACATTGCAGCGTAGTAAAAATTACAGGAATTGCAAGTGGTGAATAAGAAAATGTGCTGAATTGCAAGTTAGCAGGACTAATGGTGAAGAAATTACAAAAGGAGAAAATTTTCTGATGGAAAGTCCTCGACCACTAAATAAATGAATGTTAAAAATAAGGTGATAACCCATACCTTCATTTTCTTCTAAAACTGGCAGACACTTGCTCATTGCCATTGCAGTGCAAACATTCACATCCTTATTACAATCAGCGATAAAATCCGAAACACATTCTTGCATATCATAAACTTCTACAAAAAGTACAATACCGTTTGTATATTCTTCGAATTTAATTAAAATATAAAAATATTAAATTTACCTTTGGCAGTCATAGCTTCCACCCTTTGCCAAACAAGCCCCAGAATTAATAACAGATAAGCATGGCCCACGCTCCCTTGTACTTTCATCTTCAACATTGTTTATTTATTTATGAGCGAAAATTTTTGGTGCGCCAAAACAAAATGAAAAACTCGATGCAAAAGTTACGATATGAGTGTTCTCATCAAAAACTTTGCTAATTACACGAGCTGAGCTCAAGTTCTATCTATGCACGAAAAGGCCAAGTGGATTTTTTTGTTTGGATCATAAAAACGTTTCTCTCCGTTGATGATTTATTCGGGAATTTTTATGAATAATAAATTAGAGGCGCGCTCACATTCTTTAGTCGTGGCGTATTAATGACGCAATTAGTTTAATAAATCATTGCAATCAACGTAAATCCGGCACTCCATCGCAGTTAAATTTGCTATTTGATTTAAAATTAAAATTTAAATAAAAACAGATTTTTATTTTTTTAGTTAGTTAAATAAATGTTTAGATGTTTGTAGTTAAAAACCAAAGTTTCGTATTTACCTAGTGCTATATATCATTCATAATTGTGGTTGAGAAATTGCTTAATCCAGCGATTATTCACTACACCTCCGCATCCGCCATATTTTATGCACTCCCTACTCACTCAAGGATTATTAAGAAATATATCATGTTGGTTGTCAAGCCTGCCCCACCGACTAGTATTTACACTCATTCTACTCGTACTTCCAATTCTCGTTCAACGTGCTTCATTTTGTTTGTTCTGCATTCGGTTATGTGATTTCGAGGTTATTTCTATGTGTTTGCTGGTATGGTATTTTCGTACAAAGCAATTTTCGCGTTGAATTCCATTTTATTTTTTCTTTGCGGTTTTTTTCCAAAGCGGCGCGTTGAGATTTTCATCTTGTTCGAAAAACGTGCGCTCTGTGGGCGCCCACGCCGCACACGGCTGGAAAGATTCTTAATAAAATGTTAAACATGAAATATCGCTACGCGAAGAGGCGGAGGCTACGGTGGCGGTAGCTGTGAGTGTGCTGACGTAAGAGTGGGTGTATGCACGTAACTGACTTACCTGTAAGTGTCAATAAGCCCGCTTTCGATGTCGTCCCCTGAGAAGCCGCGCCACGTGTGATTCGCCTCCGGATGATAGAATCCGTCTCGACACGTGCACCAATAACTGGCGGAACCAAAGAATCCGCCATTTACACACTGCAAATGGAAGAGTATTCTATCAGCATTAATATCTTCTAGAAAAAACTTGAAAAATTTACATTTCCAATACTTTTGATGTTGCCCGGAGGAAATTAAAACTTTCAAATTTGTTATTTAGAAAAATCTTTAAAGGAAAGTAATAAAGTGTGCGTTGAATGTCGACGGAATGCAAACAACACACCGCCGACCGACATATTTTAACCAATATATATATGCGCCAGGACGAAAAGCGCGTTTTCGAGTGGCTTCAAGTGCGGGCTCGAGCATGACAAAATGAAATTTCAATATTTGACGAATGCTTGCCTCCGCTCAGCGCTGTGCCCGATTCGCTATTCATTTATATCTGTAGATACATTCATACATTTTGTGTTCACTTCGCGTTCGCTTGCAAAGCGGATACGTTTCAGATTTTGAATGATCAGCAAATGCGCGCAATAAAACTTCAATGGCCAAAAAAATGACTTCGCGTCTCACTGACTACACAATCGTAAATTTAGTACAAAAAATCGTTGCTTAATGACAAAACAAAAATCGGTAATATTTCGTATTTTGAATATTTAGGACATATATTTCGGGTTGGAACATGTATGATAATGCTGGTACAGTGATAAATTTGTTTACTTACAAAAGTAGTCTCCGCGTCGCACCGCGGCAGCCCGTCGAACACCTCCGCGAAGCGCTCGTCGCATCGATCGACCTCGACCGCCACCAGCAGCCCGGCGGTGTGGTTCCGCCAGGCGTCTTTGTACAGCCGCATCCATCCGGGACGATGGCAATCTCGGAACGGCGGCGACCACGCACTCGCCGCCGTCCGCTCGAAAACACTTGCGACGAAAACGGTCGCGTTGCTGCCGACCGGCAGAAATTTTCCGCGTGCGTTCGTCAGTATCAGGATGGGTTCAGAAGTTCCGGAAGTTCCGGCTGCGGATAACAACAACACTCCGATTGGGGTGGTGTTAATGTTGGAACGACCACGTGATGGCAGGATCTTTTGCACTATAGTCGCCAAATCGAATGATGAATTTTGTTTTTGAGTGAATTCTGATATTTCACTAGTTTTATTTATTGTTGCTGTTTGTGGTGGTCCATTGAAAGAAAGATAATTATTTATAATTGTTCGAATTGTTAACTGAAGATCGAGGTCTAATCTGGGCGCAGGTCCTGTTTTGGACAATATTCGCGTCTCGCAGCCGCGGCCATTTTGCGAACGTCCATCGCCAGCAAACGCCGATGACAAGATCGACACTAGGAGCACAAGATGGACGACACTTGTCTTCATTCCGTCATTGTTTTAACCAGCACCTAGAAAATTGAAAGAAAATATCTATAGGTATATTCGATTACGTTAGGTTTGAATTTGTAATAAAACATAATACAATTTGACATTGTTAAAGTCGATCATGGGAAGCTCGGGGTACAGGGATAAAAACACAGAGACTTACACTGAGCCGATGGAAAACAAAGAGGTTTTTCTCTCGACAACAACTTGTTTTATTTGCGCGCAGCGTCATTCCGCATTTATATGAGCCGGGGGTTTGCATCCGGCGTCATGAGCGACGGGATAAAATTTCCAATCCAATTTCGGGCGACGCGGCACGACGCGCAAAAGTGCCGCAGCCGAAATGAATGGGAAAACGCACAAAGCTTCGTCGTTCGTGTCTTCGAATTTCCGACTGCAAGCGCGCGGCGTAAGAGAAAAAAATCGTACGAACGAACGGAAAAGTTTGTAATGGATCTTGATGCGAAATGAGAGCCGGCGGAAAAATGACGGACTCGAACTAAATACGATATCTTGACAAATCAAATTAAAGCGGAATTATATAGATTACCAAGGGCTACGTTTAATCCGGAACTAGCTAAAACTGCATTGTACATGTACACAAACGAAATGATCGATACATTTACCAATGTGTATGCATTGAGTAAAATGCACTTTATTTAAATATAATTCTATGATTTGAGAGTAGATGGCGATAGGATGCCCATATTTGATTTCAATTCGAGACCATGCTATCACAACACCGTTTTTGTTTGGTGCGCGTGTTGTCAACATGAGGCGCTCGTCTACGTATGCGATCACGCGATTTTGTTCAGCAGGTAAACATGTTCAAATACAAACTTTTTTGTTGATGATATTGTATTCTCAGAAATACACAAAACTGCAGGTACGAATTTTATAGTAAATTGAAACCAATATTTCTTACTTCACGTATAATTAAAAATAATTAATTCATCTCAGGAAAATAATTATTGCAAATCCTAAAATCAAATAACTCCGAAAATTGTTGTGAAATTTCGGCGTTTTCTCTTGTAAGATATATTTTTATCTCAATATTATTCCTCTACGAGTGTTAATCTTTTTATGATTACGTAGTGAAGGATAAAAGCGTTTTATTTTACTTAATATTATTTTTGCTACTTTTCATCTCATCATAATTTCATTTCGTATCTTCTATTCCTGCTGCTTTTTCGTGAGCGCTCGTTATGGATACGTGGCCGGATCAAATTAAAGCTATCGTCGACAATCTCCATCTACGCTGAGAAGGATTGATACTCGTAGACGTGCAAAAAATGAAAGATCAAGATTAATTTAGCTTCTTAACTTTTTTCCTCGGCGACAAGCAAACTTTTCTTTTTATATGCCTACATCCACTTTCTTATTCAAAACTTTATTCATTTCGTTTTTGATAAAAACCTAATTATTATAGCTGATGCAGCAAATTAGATTTGCACATATGTGGTTTTACTTAACGTCGATAAAAGTTCATGAACCTTGCTGTCATTATTATGTGTCTGGCTCGTTTGGTAAAATTACAATCCATTTTGTTTGGAAATGTGTATGTATAGACGATTCGCACATTGCGTTGTTGTTTCAAGCGCGTTTCGCACGCTTCAATTTCGTTTTATTGGGCGCAATTTTACGCTTGTATGATTCAGCGTTCAAGAGCTCGAGGCACAACCGAGAATGATCGTAACGAGACTGGACGTTGTTTCGGCAATAAAACGAATTATTACTCTCTATTTTCCGTACTTTCAGTGTTTCATTGTTTACTCATCAAACTACTAGTTACAGTAAATATTAAATTGGATCTCTTTTAATTAAGTTTAACGCTAAAAAAAGATTGGAATTATTCAGAGATGAATTTATTGGTTGCATAGGTAGTAAATAATTCATGTCTGTTTCACGCAATTTAGTTTGCTGATAAAACGATGATCCGAAGTCATGGGCCTCCTCAAAATTCATTTTATCGAAACTCGGCGACACTTTAGCACACTTTCGCCCGCTTAAGGGCGCTTTAGCACGCTTTACATTTTTACGAGCCCCGCGGGAAATCCGCACGCACTTGCCACCCGAGTCGGTCGACAAAACGACGGTAATTAAAGATTATATCTTGAATTATGCCATCCACTGCTCGTACTCGTCTCATAAGTCACGGAAGCAGCTGTATATAAAGATGGCGATCGTTGTTGCCAACCAAACTTAGACGTAGCTTATTATTTGCTATAATAACCATAAAATTGTAGTACAGGACAAATTAATAATTAATATCACGATTTATAATTTTATAAATTTAGCTTTCTAAGCCAGAATTCAAAATAGATAAGACGCGAACAACAAAAGGATGAAAACTGAGTCGACCGCAAGCTGACGCGTTAAAGTCTAGCTAAAGCTGAGCTTACATCGAAGGCGGCCTTGTTAGACACAAGTACAACCCGCTGAGAGAACATGTTAGGGTTGAACTGACTAATATTTAATTAATGCCAGGCGGGCGTGTAACGCCGTGAGTTATGCATGTAGACATGAAATTTTAGTACTTGCATTGGCCTATGGAGAATGGAGATGAGTGTGAGATTTATTTAATGTGTATATCACTATAATTACTTACATATTGTAGAGACATAATGTAAATATACCCAACAAGTTAATTTTGCTTGTTAGCATATAAAATATGGAATGAAAACTATCGCAAACCTTTGTTTATTAGATTTATTAATTAATGTATGCGTTAGTTGCAGGAAATGTTGTATCTATAGTTTATGTAGCTCGTAACAAATTTCGGTATTTTGAAATGTCTGTTCGGTGTAGTACGTAGCCTCAAGCATTCATTCTACCATTAAACATTGGCTAAATCGATTGATGAGCAGTTCTAGAGCGCTAAAACACTGCCAAATAGCCCTTAACAACGATGGGGCGGATGTTGAGCGCTTTGTTCATTCGGCCAAACGACGATCCCCTCAAATAACTCTCTGTCGTCTTTATTTTCACGACCCGGTTCAAGTGCACTATGTCTGTAAAACACATTTATTTCAATGCCCGGCGCCTTCGCCAAACATAAATAATCCTTAAAATAATTATAGTATTTTTATCAAAAGGTTTATTCTATATGAATACATTGTTGACACTTGCATATTTCTATGCGTTAAAAGTTTTATGACGGAATATTTTATATTATTTGACTTTTTATGACAATATAAAATATCTCCGTGAAGTAAAATGAAGAATATGTGCAAAATAAAGGGAAAAAATTCTATGGAGCTGAGATCAGGACGCCACCTGATCTCGGTACAAAACGACGAATCGTGCTACGACTGCGAACGCAAGCGGCGGCGAGCTGAATTCGAAAGTAAGTTAAAGTGTAAGCGTCAGAGATAAGTTTATATTTTTCTTGTTTTACTTCTTTTCCGCCTTGAAGGCACTATGGCAATATTTTCTATTGCACAATATAACTAAGTGTAACATGACGTTTTCTTCCGTTCAACGGTATCAGAAAATGTTGCGAAATGTTGAAACGGTGAGATATTTCAAAACTTTAAATAGTGAGAATTGCTGAGATCTATTGAAACGTGAAATAACAAACATACATTAATATTTATTCTTATTTATTTTTTATTATTGGTTTCTTATTTAATCTATTGAATGTTGCAATAATTTATTAGTTTCTTATTAGTTATATATAATACGTGTTTGTTAGGTGTTGAAGCATTCTGTTTGTTTGAATAATTTAAATGACAACTTGCGCTCGATTGATGTCGACATTGATGGATCATTTTCGAAGTGTCGCTAACATGCGAGTATGCACGAGATATTTTTTCAGAGGAGTCACATTCTCCCACCCACTTTATTTTTTTCTTTATGCGCGAACATGTCGTGTCAGTTTCGCTTCGATTAATATTGATGGATACATTTGACAACTTATACCCGTATCCTCTTTCGCCATTTTGAGTTACTCTAACGACGAAACGACGTTACGCTGTTAGTCAGTGTGCAAACGCGTTAACGACGAACAAAATGGCGGCGACTAACCTGCATGTCATTACGTAACCTTACTTGATAGCTGTTGGCGCGGAAAAAGGTGACGTGTGACGTACAAACTTGTCGCGAATAATAAATTGTGTGATAGTGAGCATAGTGAGTGCGTAAGGTGTAAATTTCTGCATTGGTAGCTATTTAGGCCGTTGGGATGAACGTGTAGAGTCAGGGGGCGCGTAGTCCCGAATATAGCTATTGATTAAATGACGAAAAGAACACGTAGCAGATATTAAAGGGAAGGGTTTTGCAGCTGGATGAGAAATATAGAAACGTCGAAATGGACCTGGAAACAAACGACAAATAGTCCAGTTTTGGTCCAGTTGCAATCCACTCAATTTGTTACAGGGTGTTTTTTGGTATCAATGTTTCCATAACGTGTGGCATTTTTCTTGTCCCAGTGTAACCCATATAAAACCAATCCGATGGTATTGCCGCCGCCCAAATTGTGTTTTGAATTTTTAACCCTCGGAAATGCAAATTTTACCTCGTGCCGTTCTTGCGTGAAGACAATGCTGATTGAAATACGAACGCTGACAGTCAAATTGATGACATCCACATGAAACCGGATACAATGCGAAATTATTTTTTCATTGTACAATCTGATGTTTTGAACAAAAGGGTAGAGCGAAAGGCAAGATCGAAAATTATTTATGTCATCAATTATTCACGGTCGCGTTCAACGCGTGTCAACGTTTATTTATTGGAAAATATTGCCACAAGCATTGAGCAAAATATTTATTGAACTCACAATTTCGGACGTGTCGTTGTTTTTCAATTACCGCGAATAATGCCAGGTTTAATTATGAATGTGTTTCATTAATGTGAAATTGTGCGGTTAAAATTGATAGCGTTGTTTCCATACTATACCAACATATGTTCTTTTAAATAAATGTGAACGATTTGATACTTTAACATAGTAACGTTATCATAAATCTCCCTGGTTTGACGTGTATAGTATAAATAGTGCGGTTCTAAACCAGTCCAATTTAAG